AGCCTCGCCGCCGCATTCATTATGGACTGTAACGGCGCAAGTTGGGAGCACATAAGACCACAGAGAAGCGGATTACAGTAGTCAAGGCAAGAAAGGATAGTAGAATGGACCAGCACCTTAGTCGCATCTGGTGTTAAGTAGGGACGGATGCGCGCAATGTTTTTGAGATGGAAGTGGCAGGATTTGGCGATAGACTAAACATGAGTCGTGAATGAGAGCTCGGAGTCAAAGAGAGCACCTAGGCAGCGAGTCTGCGTGGTGGAGCTGATGGTAGCACCATTGACTTGGAGAGAGACAGACACAGGCGTAGCAACACTTGAGGGAGGAAAGACCAGAATTTCAGTTTTGGTCAAGTTGAGTTTAAGGAAGTGGGCAGCCATCCAGTTAGAAATAGCAGAGAGGCAGTCAAGAGGGACGGGGAGAGATCAGGAGAGGACAGGTAGATTTACGTGTCATCTACATAGAAATGATATTGGAAGCCAAAGGAGCTAATGAGTTTACCAAGGGAGACAGTATAGATGGAGAACAGTAGGGGACCAAGGACTGAACCTTGGGGGACACCAACAGAGAGGAGTTGGGGAGAAGAAGCAGAGCCAGAGAAAGAAACACTGAAAGAGCGCTGGGAGAGGTAGGAGGAGCACCAGTAGAGAGCAATATCTTGTAGACCGATATTGCGAGGATGAGAAGAAGCTGTTGATGATCAACAGTGTCAAAAGCTGCAGAAAGGTCAAGGAAAATTAGGATAGAGTAGTGACCACGTGATTTTGCAGCAAGTAGATCATTGGATACTTTGGTCACTGCCATTTCTACAGAGTGCTTAGCGCGGAAACCATACTGAAGCAGGTCTAGCAGAAAATTGGACTCGAGGAAGTCTGTCAATCTCACATACACAACTCTTTCAAGGATCTTGGATGCAAAAGGCAGTAGCGAGATAGGACGGTAATTGGACGGGGAGTTAGGGTCAAAGTTGGGCTTCTTTAGAATTGGGGTTATATTTGTAGCAGCTCACTCTTTGCTGCCTGTGCCACTTTCGCTCCAGCACTGCATTCTCTATTTAAGTTGGGAGGAAGTGACATGCTCCAATCTTAACGTGCTGCGGCACCTGAACAGGCCAATGTTCAGCAATAAAATAGTCTTAAAAAGGGTAGGAGGTCTCGCTAAAGTAGCAGTAGATAATCAGGGAAACTTGATAAGACGTATTCTCGTATGGGAGTGGATACATCTCAGGGTGTTTGTTTGTATATATGAAACATAGAAGAGGCAGAAAGCAACCAATAGTGCAGTACATCTAGAAACATAGAATGTGACGACAGATAAGAACCATTTGGCCCATCTAGTCTGCCCAGTTTTCTAAATACTTTCATTAGTCCCTAGCCTTATCTTATAGTTAGGATAGCCTTATGCCTACCCCACGCATGCTTAAACTCCTTTACTGTGTTAACCTCTACCACTTCAGCTGGAAGGCTATTCCATGCATCCACTACCCTCTCAGTAAAGTAATACATCCTGATATTATTTTTAAACATTTGCCCCTCTAATTTAAGACCATGTCCTCTTCTTGTGGTAGTTTTTCTTCTTTTAAATATGGTCTCCTCCTTTGCTGTGTTAATTCCCTTTATGTATTTAAATGTTTCTATCATATCCCCCCTGACTCGTCTTTCCTCCAAGCTATACATGTTAAGATCCTTTAACCTTTCCTGGTAGGTTTTATCGTGCAATCCATGAACCAGTTTAGTAGCCTTTCTCTGAACTCTCTCTAATGTATCAATATCTTTCTGAAGACACGGTCTCCAGTACTGTGTACAATACTCCAAGTGTTCTGTACAATGGCATGAGCACTTCCCTCTTTCTACTGCTAATACCTCTCCCTATACAACCAAGCATTCTGCTAGCATTTCCTGCTGCTCTATTACATTGTATGCCTACCTTTAAGTCATCAGAAATAATCACCCCTAAATCCCTTTCCTCAGATGTTGAGGTTAGGACTCTATCAAATATTCTGTACTCCGCCTTGGGTTTTTACGTCCAAGAGTCCAAAAGTGCAGTAAGTATCAAGAGGTAGAGAACTCACATTTAAAAGATCTATGGCCAGCTCTGGTGTGAAGAGCACACAGCGGTATAATCCCCACTTATGGGATGTGGGAAGATGTATCCGTCAGCACCGTCTGCTCCAAAGGGAAGATAAAAGGTAACAATAGTGCTCTCAATTGTGATAAAATCGAGTATAAAAGAGTGATGAGTAATACTCACAAGAGTAGAGCAGAAACACTGCTCTATTGATATACCGTTGGTGGTATGATCCCTACCTCGGATTTACTTGGAGTAACAGCGTACGGCAGGCTTACTGCTTGATGGTATCAGCTCTGGTGGTATAATCCCTACCTCGGATTTCTTTATTAGTAGTAAAAAGCCAAGTAGCAAATGAAATATATTATCAAATATATTTTAAAATAGTAAATAAAATTTAAAATGGTAAATAAAATTTAAAGGAAATTGGCACAAAACCAGGTCTATTTGTCCAAAAGAATTCCTTTATTGAGTGGTAAAAGTAAATATAAAACATCCAAATACGCATTTCGCCATTGTTGCTTTCTCAAAATCTCCCAAACTTTTTTTTTGTACCCCTTCTCATTAACACTACATTAACACCCCTGTGTGCCTCTGTCCCATTATACACATTCATCCCACATGTACCTGTCTTTTCACCCTTAAACCATTTGTATTTTCACCAGTCACTATTTTCCATTTTGTATGCTTCCTTTTTAAGCATATCTATCTCTCTTATCCATTGATGTGCCCATTTACCTATGTTGCTCTCTATAATTTTCTCTCCATGATATACTCATGCTGATTGTTCACCTAGATCTAGTCCATGCTTTTTTTTACCAGTTGGTCCCTCATCAGTCCCCATGTCTCTGAGTTAACCTTTTATAATGTCATGAGTCTGTAATCTAAGCTACCATACTGCTAAATTGTATGTTATACATTAAATAATACAAATCCATACTCCACAGTCCGTACAACACTCTATAGGTCCTTCTCATTTACATCTTGGTATATGACAGGCCAAATAACCGCAAAACCCCATATCAGAGGACAGAGCCTCTTCACCTTACCATCATCCTGGATGATGCCTAACAATGGGAGATGTGAAGTAAGTGCTCTCTCAATTGTGCCAGAAGAAATTTGCTTTTGTGTTATTGTGTTCCTGTCTTTTAGGGTTGCCACCTGGCCAGTATTTTACCGGCCCTGTATTTGAGGCTCTTTGGCTGGTGCCGGTATTGCAACTATACCGACAATTCAATTGCCAATATTTTTCTTTGAAGAAAAAGTTCTGCATTATGGGCACCGGCCACCAGGGTGTGCAGTGCTCTCAGTCCGCACTAAGAAAACTTGTTGGTGCTTGGCTGTGTGGAGAGGTCTTAGATGGGATGTTGCAGCATGTCTCTGCCCTCTCCACTAACAGAATCCGCATGGGAGGAGCAGGAGCTGCCGGTCAAGGAGATAGAACCATGGCAGCAGCAGCTGAGTCTTGAGAGCAGGTATTTGTGTGTGTATATGCAGCAGTTTGTGTGTGTGTATTCAGCAGTCAGTATGTGTGTGTGTTCAGCAATCAGTGTGTGTGTATTCAGCAGTCTATATGTGTGTGTGTTCATCAGTCTGTGTGTGTGTTCAGCAGTTTGTCTGTGTGTACTAGTACTAAGCAGTCTTTGTGAATGTATTCAGCAGTCAATCTGTATCTATTTAGCAGTCTGTATGTATTCAGCAGTCTTTGTGTATGTGTATTCAGCAGTTTGTGTGTATGTGTATTCGGCAGTCTCTGTGTAATCTGCAGTCTGTGTATGTGTATTCAACAGTTTGTGTGTATGTGTATTTGGCAGTCTCTGTGTACTCAGCAGTCTGTGTGTGTATGCATTCAGAAGTCTCTGAAGGTATAGAATGGTCTCTAAATGTATTCAGCAGTCTCTGTGTGTGTATTCAACAGTCTGTATGTATTCAGTAGTCTGCGTATGTGTGTTTGTAATTACTATTGTGTGTGTCTGTGTGTATTTAGCAGTCTGTGTGTGGGTATACAGCAGTCTATGTCTGTGTTTCTATTTAGTAGCATATATTTGTTTTTAGCAGTCAGATGGGAGAATTGTGAAAGAAATAGAACCAGAATATCAATCTATGTTATAAATGGTATGCACATTGTTATATAGTATATATACACAATAACATACACAGACATTCTAGACACACACTCAGTATATAGACAATGACAGATGCTCAGAAAACAGTATGATCACACTGTTATACACATTTAGACAACGACACACTACTACATACATACTCATACAAACAGTACATACAGACACTGCCTCACATTTACAATGCTATACACACAGTCAGACAAAGTACAGACATTGTAAGTAGTTTATTAGTGATTTAGGTTATTTTTTCCTTCCAAATGTTCTCATTCTTTTATGGATGTCGTGCCCTGTGATGTCACGCATGTATAATGAATTATGCAAATTAGAATGGCCAGTATTTTTTTCCAAAAAAGGTGTCAACATAGTCTTAATGTGAGAAAAATAAGGTCACACATTGCAGTTGTGGAGTAACGTTAGAGGAGGTGAACTGGGGATTAAAACCACATATATTAGTATGTGGAACCTCCAAAATTTTCCAAAGTTCAAAAAGGTTGGAAACCACTGCTACAGACTAATAAGGATTATACTGAATTATATTTATAGTGTTCATAATATTTCCTTACAATCAGTATGATTCATTATGTAATGTTGCTGAGTACTTAAAATCTTTAAATAACACAGTGCTGTAAAAGAATTCAGTCTGTTACAGTTTACAATGAGAATTACTACACCGTTATTGAGATGGTGTACATCTCTGTGCATATTAACCCTCCTCGTTATTGGGTGGCTGTGTCAGCAGGAAGTGGTAGATGTTTTTGAAAACGTCTCTAAGAAAAGCATTGGGTTTGCTTTGTTTCCCCTTGTACTAATGCATGTGTGGTTGTGTTAGCTGGTGCAATAGAGCATGTCGTAGTGGTGTCTGTGTCTGTCAGAGCACATCATTGCAAAGTGTAGTGTAACAGAGTGTGATAGAGTGTATGTGAGGGGGAGTACTAGTAATTTGTGTATGTGTTTGTATATTGGGGAGTAGAGGTGTGTCACAATATGTACATATGAAGGGGGTTATGGTATTTGTGCTAGATTGTTAATTTTCTGTAAACTGTTAGAACACTGTAGGCCTTATATTAGTACACATACAATTTGGGTGATCGCTGCGTAAGTACCCATTTTTACTTTTAATTACAAATTTGAAATTTAATTCATTCAGAATTAAATAGGAATTTAAATACCTCTCTTTTTCAAGTTAAGAAACTATCAAAGTTTGAATTCTGTACAGCATTGCAGCTTTCTCATACGTTAAGTGCTTTGAAGGCGTTTTTCCTAATAGCAAAGTTTTTTTGTGGTGTGGCATAGTTCATATGGTCTAGTTGTGTGAGTGTGTTAAAGGAGTGTGTGTGAACAGCATGTCCCTGAGGACCGAGCTCCTGAAATCAGTGTGGTATGCCTTTACTTCATTGGACACAGAGAAGAGTGGGAAGGTTTCAAAATCGCAGCTTAAGGTGAGTGGAATCATAGATATTTTTCTTGTATGCAGGATAAGACATTTTACTAGTCACTAAAGGGTGAATTCAAGGTGAATTTCAAACTTTTGTCAAAAGTAGCGAAATGGAAACATTCTCTAAGTCAGTTATACTTCCAGTTATACTTCTTTGGCCTTAAATTTAAAATTCACTTTGAATTTGCACTTTAGTGAATAACACTGTTAGTACACGGAAGAATATGAGGCACGGAAGGTAATCAGTAAATTGTTGATAGATGAACAAGACAACTAGGAGTAAATGATACAGAGGTAGCGAGCCAGGGGTTCTATTCACTAAACAGCAAGTTTTGGTGACTTGAATTGTTGCACACACATTTCTTGGATAAAACCTCCAAGTTGTATTGTCTGAGTACATTTTTCTAAAACACAAAGGTTTTGTGATTAATTCCTAAATGTTACTAGATCAATGGGAAAAAAAGTAGCAGAGAGCTTAGAAAGCAGGGTGATGGATAATTTTGTTTAAGGGAACAGAAAGTGACGGAGGTGACGGTACAGATCCATATTTTGCTAGAAAGTATCCAAGAAGGTAAAATATAGTTGTAGTAGAAATTATATTTAGTCTACATGACTGTTAATTTCCGTGTCTCTCATTGAATTATTATTCATTATCAGGGATTATAAATAGAAAATAAGTCAGTGTGTTTTATTGTGTTTTAATTAATTTGTTTTAAAGAGAATCTATTATAAACTTTATAGTCCAGCTGTATACATATATTTTCAAGGTGAGTGCATGTAATGTTTCACTCTGCTACTTTGCTTATTTAATTATTTACTCATCTCTTTAGTTATCGGTTGTTGTTTTTTTGTGTATGCGTATTTGCTGTTTTTGTGTTTTCATTCCTATTTTGTTTGTCATTTATTTGAAGCTTATCTTATTATGTTCCCTTTTCTTATTATTATATAATATTTTTGTGCTAGGCATCTATTTTAAATGTGTATGTTTATGTACATCCATTTCTATGATGGTCTGTCTCTGTATGCAATAATTACAAAACATTGCTACTTCATCAAAAATAGAGAAATCTTCACTTGCATGCAGAAGGAATGGTGCTAAAGTTTCTGTCTTTACAGAGCTCTGCCAAGACGTTTGTGTTTTGTGAAATGCAAATTGGTGCATATGTATGCAATTATATGTGTACGTGTGTGATGTAATGAATGGCTTTGTGTTATTTGTGCATGTGTTTATATAACATTTGTTGTATATATGTATATTTACATATGTATGTATATGTTTGTTTAGTCCTTTGTTTTTTTGTGTATATTTTGTATCGCTCATTGTCCTTGAGAATGTGTCAGTTTATATCAAAATGAATTTTAATATATGAATATGGTTTCTTACACTCAATCATAAAACAGCAGGAAAACCTCAGCAGAAAAGGAAATAGCAAAGAGGAACGGAAGTGGTGAGGGTGGGGGGAAAATACTGCACAATATAGTGTGTACAATGTCAGCTATGCTTATTATGTGCTTTGTGTTTCCTTCGGTTTTTTTTACTACTTTTTCTTTTTTTATTTGAAATGGATTATAAGCTTGCTATTTTTCTGTCACATATTGATAGCCATGTTGTCTTATCTCTATTGTGAGTGTTGAATATGAGCTGCACTCTTCTCTTTGACAGGTGCTGTCCCACAACCTGTACACTGTGCTCTGCATACCTCATGATCCAGTTGCCCTTGAAGACCACTTCCGTGATGATGACGATGGCCCTGTATCTAGTCAGGGTTACATGCCCTATCTAAACCAGTATATATTGGACAAGGTGGGACTCTGGTTAATAAAATTCCTCTTACTTTCAAATATCAAGACAACAAATAGAAGTAAACAGGGAGTAGATGTTAGAGTGTAAAGATGTTACAATGCTGAGATGTATAATCAAAGCTGGAAGTGCACTCAGCTCCTCACTAGGGAATCCAGGGTGCTCTTGAAAAAGTCCCAGTACCCAGAAGGACCAAGTTGCATTTTCTACAATGCTGAGATAAGCACAATCTCGTATCCCAAACTTGAGGGTTAAACACAAATTTATTTTTTTTAAGACATAGCAAAAAAGTGTTTATATAACTAGGTGGAAAATCGATCTGAAAGCTTCTGTTTGTCTATCAGCAAAGAAACAAAAAAGTATAAATACAAACTAATAACAATAATTTTAATACCATAAAAAAGGAAAACAAAATTATATAAAAACGGTGCATATCACACATGTGAAATCAATAGTAAGTCAAGGTAGCAGGCAGGCTTAAAAGAAAGAAAGGGGGAAAAATGATAATTACAAATAATAATAAATATCCCTGCATCGTTTTTATGCTCCAACTATAAAACACACTTGTATGTGTGATATTTTTTACTTATAGGGGAACAATCTCCTTCCTGCTAATTTGCTTACATTTAATGATCTAATCCATTTACTGGAGAAGACGCTAGACACTGTATTCTGCAAAGGATCCAGATCTAAGGACCTAGTGCTCAGGCTCTGCTTGCCGTTTCAATTTTGACTGGGCATGGATTGTTATGTTTCTTTTAGTCTTCTGCAAGTTTTTTTATACAATTTAAGTTCCATTACTTAGGAAAGAGATGTTCAAAATAATTGACCTGTATCTTCTTCCCTCCCCTTTTTTCATCATCCTATAACTTAAGACTGCAAAACAGAATTCTCTGTTTTTCTTTCTCCCTCTCTCCCACATTGATAGCATTCTCATTCGTATGTTCTTGTCAATTACATTTACACTTGTTTTTTCTGACACTGCTAATACCACCCTAATTCATCTACAATCAGGTGGTTGATGGTTCATTTGTAAAGGAACACTTTCATGAGTTGTGCTGGACTCTGACAGCAAAGAAGAACTATCACCCAGAAGGAACGGCGCTGCCATCAAAAGATGCCTTTCGTCTATGGTGTCTCTTTAATTATCTATCTGAAGATTCGTATCCTCTCATTATGGTCCCCGATGAGGTAAAGCAAATATATGTGTATTGTGCTTTAGAATTAGTTCAGTTTGTTAAAGGTTGAAACTGTATAGTCAATGGCTCGTTTCTGGTCACTGGTCCTTTTAGGTCAATAATACCCATGCATCGTTTTAAAAGAAATCTGTGTTTAAAAAAGTGTTCCATTGCTTTGGGCAGGGCCATCTATAATATGAATAGGACCCCGGGCAAAGCCTTTTCTTGGGCCCCCTGGGCCCTGTCACTGCACCCTCCCTCCCCATTACGCCCAACCCGCAATCACACTGACAGACATACTGACACATGCACACACAGACAGACACATTAAAACATTCGCAGATACATACTGATACACACATACACTGACACAAAAATATATACTGGCAAACACTGACACACATTCAGACATACTGATACACACACAGACACATACATACTCACAGACACATACACTGACAGATATATTGACACAGACACATACACTGACAGGCGTATTGACATACACAGACATACTGACATACAAACACACAGACATACACACAGTATGTCTGTGTGTGTTAGTATGTCTGTGTGGTGTGTTAGTATGTCTGTGTGTGTATGTCAGTATGTCTGTGTATGTCAGCATGTCTGTGTGTGTATGTCAGTATGTCTGTGTGTGTATATGTCTGTGTGTGTTAGTATGTGTGTGTGTATGTCAGTATGTGTGTGTGTGTATGTCAGTGTGTGTGTATGTCTGTGTGTGTATGTGTCAGTATGTCTGTGTGTGTATGTGTGTGTCTGTGTGTGTATGTCAGTATGTCTGTCATAGACACACACAGACATACTGACATACATACACAAACAGACATACTGACACAGACATACTAACACACACACATACTAACACACAAACACATACTAACACACTAACACACACACACAGACACAGACATACTAACACACACACACACATACTAAAACACACACACAGACATACTAACATACTAACACACACACACACATACTAACACACACACACAGACATACTAACACACACACATACTAACACACACACACAGACATACTAACAACACACACACACAGACATACTAACACACAAACACAGACATACTAACACACACAGACATACTAACAAACACACAAACACAGACATACTAACACACACACATACTGACATACATTTAGCCACCCTCCAGGTTCTTACCTTTTTATGGAGGGTGGTTTCCCTGGGGTCCAGTGGCAGGCTGAGGCAGATGGGAGTTCTTCTCTGGAACTCCCCTCCTCCTTGCCTTCCTCCTCCCTCGCGGCTATCTCCGGTGGGAGGAAGTGACACGCGGTACTCACTTCCTCCCAGCCGATACAGGAAGGGGCCCGGTCGCGCTGTTTAAGCGTCACAGCGCCCGACCGAGCCCCTTCTGCCACATGCCCACAGGGTGGCCTCCTTAGTTGGCGGGCCGGTGCGGCTGCACCGCCGGCCGCCGGGTACATGGGGGTGCTGAAATCGCAGGGGCCCATGGGGCAGCTGCTCTGGGGCCCCCCCAGGAGCAACTGGGCCCGGGGCACCTGCCCCGTTTGCCCCGCGCTAAAGACGGCCCTGGCTTTGGGTGCCTGCAGAAATGCAAGATGAAGTCTGAAACGTGATGTGTTCTGCAGTTGGAGCTGGGAAGTCTGAGATAGTTGTGGAAACTTAATTTTCCAGAATTTCTGTGCACAAGGTGGACCTCACAAAGTTCAACTTGAGATATGTAGGATATAAACAACAACTTTTGTACTTCTAGGGGAAAAGTTGATCGCGTTGTATAAACTAAAGTGTATGTATAAGCACCCATTTATTTTGAAATAGGGCATCAAAATGAAATAAAATTTAAGATGTCAGGTTTTTTTCAACTAATTTTTGGTATACTCATTTTATTAATTTCAGGCATCTGTAGCAGTCAGAACTAATCAAGCCATCACAATTGTCAGTAACACTACTTTTTTTTTTAGCTTGCAGCAATCTTTATTAATGATTTTCATGATTGAAACAGCATATGGCCGAACATGTTTTTTTCCACTTAGAAGATGTACAGTGTGCACACAATTTAGTAAATCGTTTCCACAATATAAGTGTGCCCCTTCTATTAAGTAGTACCCACAATGAGCCTATATTTTTATTATAGTTTATACAATTGTGCATGTGAATACTAACAAATCTATACAGGTGGTGTACCCTCTTTAAACTTAGTTTATCTTATTGCCACTTCTTAGCATTGGTACCCTATCTATTACATGTAATGTCAAAAGATGAATTGAAAGTTTGGCTTCATGAAAATGGGCACAGAAAGGCGATTCAAGTTTTTTAGTTTTATTGATTTTTAAAAAAAATATTTTACTCAGTGGTGTAGTGAGCGGGCAATTGTCCTCAAGTGGCAGGCTGATTGTGTGCCAAAAGGCAGGCTGGTGACCACCAGCATCAGAGCTGCAACACCATAGCACTTGTACTCAGAGACATCTCCAGTGTTTGGCCAATTAGGCAGCCGCCTATGATCTCACACAATGAGCCAAATGGGGTAGAATAATAGCTGAGGGACATCTTCCAAATATCCAATGATTAAGACCATTGATTAAGTCCATGCTGACTATTAGGCCAGAACCAAAGTAGGTTGTGCAGAGTCACCATTAGTGAAGGAGGGTGACAGAGGGCCCCAGCCTCCTTAGTACCTTGTGATGCACAGCAGCAGAATGCTGTGCATAGAGGGGGCAGGGACATGGTGGATCAACACATCCCCAAACAGCATCAGTGATCCAGAACTGCATGGAGGAGGCTGTGGAGAGCAGGATATGCAAGTTAAGGAATGAATTGTGGGGAGAAAGGGGGCAGGCCAGTTACGCTATCATTAACTGGCTTCACCTAAAGGAAAGGGTGCAAATCTGCCAAAATTACTGGCATGTCAGCCTGGAGTGAATGCATGCCAGGCTGCCTTTCAATTATCCAGGCTGGCTCACTGAGGATAGACCATGCATGGAGCAACTTTCAGTGCTCTTTACAGGTTCCTATTGCCCTGAACATAGAGTGAGTACATCTAATGATGACAATCCCCTGGTGTACTCAAAAGTGGGACACCAGCGAACAAATTTGAGGTGATGGGACAGGCCTTGAAATTTGGGACTGTTTTGATGAATTCAGTAAGCCTGATGAAGTATGAAAGAGAGAGAAGGAAAAGGTGCAGAGTGTGGGAGCAACGTTGAAGGGAGAGGGAACAGACTGTATAGGAAGAGGGAACAGATTGTATGGCAGAGCTGATCAGATGGGTGTGCAGAGTGAATGGAATGGTGAAAGGACCTTCATAGAATTATGGTTTGAGGGGTGCAATACTTGCACTCCACCTTCCCCGGCCAACTCATTACAGTTGAGTAAATAAACATGTACTAAGTTACAGTTATACAGTTCTAAAAATTCCACACACAAAAAAGAAAATCTTTATTGTAGAATTCTTAAATGTTCAAAGGATAAGGAATTAACATAACTGTACAATAGAATTACAAGGAAAGGGTTTATGTCCCGAGTCTCCTTAAAATACACTTATTCAGGGCCCGACTGGGGACAAAATTCGGCCCGGGCATTTCTTAATCACAGCGGGCCACTGAGAAGGGGGCGGGGCCAGATAGGGTGTGTTTTGTCATCACAAATGACAAGCACGCACCTGTCAAAGTGAGCATGTTGGTTCAATGCCCTTCAAGGACAGACCATGCGCAAAGCTCCGCTGAAGAGCTCTAGCATGAGAAAAAGGCCCTGTATTTGTTCTGCACAGCACAAGCAAGTTTAATAATATGTTTGCTCTGTGTCTCTGGTGTTTCAACTTGTCTCTGGTGTTTCCATAAATGGGATCCCAGGAGACAAAAGGTCCAGGGAAGAGTTTTGTGCATGTGTTTGGAGCCTACTTGTGGGATTGCCTGTGTGTAGAGTGAGTGGATTGTGGTGTGGTATTGTGTAAATAGGTTGGTTTCAGTCATGTTGTGTTTGGTGTGTAGTATAATGTATGTGTGGCATTTGTTTCTTGTAAATACATTTATAATTTGAAAAGAACAGACAGGATAAAAAAAAGAAAAAGAAAATTGTGAGCCAATAAGAAAATGTGATACAAATGGTATGCACTTCACCTTTGGGACATATTAACGATCGAGCATCTAGCTAACACGTATTAACAGTTTGTTATCATGATCACAGGAAAGAAGTGGTAGAGAGTGTGTGTATAGGGGGCATAGTGTGTATAGGGGATGTAGCTAGTGTGTGCATATGGGCTGTAGAGTCTGTGTGTGTGTGTGTATATAGGTGATGTAGTGTGTGTAGGGGTTGTAGAGAGTGTTTGTTTAGGGAATGTAGTATGTCTGCCTATAAGGAATCTAGTGTGTGCATAAGGGGCCGGTGAGGGAGATCTTTAATCTACCCTCTGGCCAAACATGGAATACAGCAGGGCCTGCGCTCAGATAGCGTGGGCACTGCATGGACCTGCCGGGGAGACCCTGTGACCTCCCCTGCTGGCCTCAACCCATGGCAATTGCGGCCCACAGGGCATTTGCCCGGTGTGCCCGATGGCCCGCCCAGGCGCGCACTTATTCAGTACTGTGTCAAGGCCAATACGTTGCTGTAATCAGTTTTCATTTAAAACATTTTTTCCCTCTTTTAAGCCTTTAACAGTCACTTATTAGATACATAATTCAGTTATTGCAGGATGAAACTCCCTGATGAAACTTTATGTACAATGTGTGTGCTATGTGTAACAAACTCAGAGACTGCTATCAGACCACTGCTTTTCAAATTATCTTAATTTATTTATTTTTAGAGTCAGAAAAGAGGACCTTTCGATTTCCTCAATCTTTTTCCGTTCTCACATAAGTAATTTTTTTTTTTTTAAATACATTTTCATTTGTTTCTTGTAAATACATTTATAATTGGAAAAGTACAGACAGGATAAAAAAAGAAAAAGAAAATTGTGAGCCAATAAGAAAATGTGATACAAATGGTATGCACTTTACCTTTGGGACATATTAACGATCGAGCATCTAGCTAACACGTATTAACAGTTTATCATGATTACAGGAAAGAAGTGGTAGAGGGAGGTAAGCCTGTTAAGTAAGTCCAGGGATTCTTAAAAGAACACAATAGTGTTAGTAATACACTAGAGTGGCTGTTTAGGTCACCGGCCCCACTCAGATTTCAGTGAAAAGGTATTTTACTCACCTTTTTTCCCCTGGTGCTCCAGTCTCGCCGAGGCTGGCTCTGCCTCCAAACTTGATGATCTCAGCCAATCCAATGCGTTCCCATAGAAAAGCTTTAGGAGGCTTTTGCGCATGTGCTGCAAAACGCCGCACTGCACTAATCAGCATCTCCTCAAAGAGATGCCTTAAATCAGAGCATCTCTATGGGAAGTGTTCAGCACCTCCATGGCACAATATGCAGCACTGAGATAGGAAGCAACTCTAGTGGCCATCTGAGGGACTGCCACTAGAGGTGTTACTAGGTAGCAAACACATAATGTCCCTTTAAATGGGCTGACAAGGCCTGGGTCTGGAGTGGGGCGACAAGTTAAAGGGGCTGCTAGGACTTGCTACTTTTGTTTGTTTTTCTTAACTTCACTGTATTGGGCAGCTGACTTTCTAAATAGCTGCCTGTTAAGCTTTGCACTGTGCAGAGTCAGGTGCTTCTCAGTCTTCCCATAGCACAATGAGCTCCTTCTACGTCTCATACATAATTATATTGTGCCTGTACAATCTGTAGTTAATGTGCTACCCAGCACCCACTAAGGGCTTTTTGATGCATCCATGATTACTGTAATGCATACATTGCAGCAGGTTACAGTATATAATTTTGTGTCTTGACTTTCTCCTGTCTGTATACTGGAAACCTTTGAATAGAGCAGGAAGGGATCTATGCATCAAAGAAAACAGCTCTCCTCCAGTCTGAAAGATGACACCACTCTGGATAGCAGACCATAGATATCAAAGATCTGTGTAATTGCCCATAATATCACCAATAACTTGCCCTCAATAATTGAAGGAACAGTCCAACGTTAAAACCAACCTTCAATATAAATCCACCCCCAACCCACCCCTCCCCCAAAAAAATAAACTCTGCTTTTATCCAACAGCAAGTCCTTAAACGAAAGTGCTTTATGTGTTTGGAGTGCCCCCTTAATATAAATTTTACAAGGAGATAAAGTAAATTTAACAGAGTTATCACTTAGAAACTTATTATTTTGTATTTTCCCCATGATGTCAATGTAATTCATTTTAATAGTAGTGTGTAATAGTGCATTCAAACAATATAAAAGACTCAAAATTACCGCATTTTATATATATGTAGAAAGGCCATTAGGCCTGAATTTGTGGGAGGAGTAAGTCCCCTACTTAAACTCCCAGCCCCTACTCACCGCTGCCGCTCAGCTGATTGTCCAGCACTTCCGGTCCAGCTTCCCGCCAGAACTGTACCTGTTTCCAGCAGCCAGACGCCCTGTGCAATCCTCCGTCCGTCCGAGGTCCTTCCACTCCGTTTCTCTCCGGTCGAGGTACCCGACTTCCGGTCACGAGACCGGTGTGTTCACGTAAGCAAGGCTGGGGAATTAGCGTTCGCTATTTCCCCGCCGTTCGGGCCTAAAAACGTAGGGGTAGGCTCACTCCTTTCGCATTTTCATGAATACGCTTTTTTCATGAATATCTCCATTCGCGCCAAAAAACTCACGAACGTTCGGCTCATTTCGCTATCATTTAAAGCATTTTCGTACGGAAACTACCGAATATATATTTCATGTTTAAGCTCATTATTATCTGTATTCACTTTTCTGTTCGGTCATTTCAGCACCTAACTATTCGTATGGTAAAATTCACGAACACCATCTTACTAAATTACATTCGGTTATTTCTATTCTTTTAAGCTAAGCTTGCATTAGTTCTAATCACACTATCCTACTATTATTTATTCCTTCTCATCAGTTTTGGTTACATTATCTGGTTAACTACCAGCCCTGTGTTTTCCTACCTGGTTAAACCATTTAAAGTTTTTTCTGTAAATAAACATAATATTTTACCATGGTTCATAACTTCATACGTGTCTAAATACAAGCTATACCATTCTTTCCAAATAACACTCAGATAAGTCATTTGAACTCTATTTACAAGTTATACCCATTACACATAATCCGTACTATTCCTTGCACATAAATCACGCTGTCACATTTTGGCTTTTACAGATTGCATCGGTCTCTTGCTTTTCTGCATAAAGTTGTTATTTCAAGGTCCTTTTATTACAGGAACAGGTATGGTTTATTATCACTTTGAGTTATCAGGTTTTATCTATTATCTTCACATCTATTGCTAAATATGGAATTTGTCTTGGTTAAACCCTTAGATCCTGTATTTATCTAAGCTTCCACCGTTCCTACGCAGTTAACCTGCCACGATTAAATAATCTCTGTACTTAAAACCAAGGTATAGTTCACTCTCTTTACAATTCTAGACCTCACGCGGTCTCAACTCCATTACTACCTTCCCTCAGGCTTACGCCCAGGATACGTTATCTCTTTACTACTTGTCTACACAGACTTTCGGTCATACGGCCATCAGGCTCAGAAGACACCAAAAACCTGACCCGGTACTCAGCCATACCTTCAGGTACTTACGTCCTTACTCAAGTACGTCCATTCGCTACCCAAAGGCCTCATTCTGCCTTCTCACTCATATCCAAAATCATCCCATTCCTACACCTTTAACCTCCCAGATCCCTCAATGCAGGATCTCACGTGATGCCCCTAACAAACCTTCTCCCAATACTATTCATACGACATCACGATACGTATAAACACATCAACATCTGTCTTAAACCCCCAGGATTCTTCCTCAAAGACAACATTTAAGACAAGTCTCTCTACACTTATCAGGAGGCTCCAGATACCATTCGCGACCAGTCAAGGTTAGTATCCGCACACCACTCCAGTCCTTTAACTTTACCCTTAAGCATACAATCGAACTGGCTATACGGCACAGGCTAATGCCTTAGCCCACCCTATCAGGAAATCTGACCCCGCGAGGCCTACCACCCCCACCCCACCTCAACACGGAGGTACGGCCCCACGCCCAAATCATAGTTATAAGCCTCGCATGCCTTACTACAGGGCTCTAGTTAGGGCCTCACCTGTCACGGCCACACGTTTTGATTTCTCTTATCGTCACCGAGAGGCCAACATCCCGCCACCACGTCTGTGGCACCTACGTCATAAGCCAAATCATAGGTAGAGCCTCTCACCGCCACTTGGCATTAGCAGGGCCTCACCTATCCAGTCATTCATAATTAAGTTTTTCGCCTCGGCATCTAGTATTAAAGTCCAGTTCTTCCAGACATACCACGCCCCATACCCCCCCCCCTTCTTACCTCACTCCCCTTCTTATATATCTTTCACATAATCATTCCTTTTTAGAATGTCCCAAGAACCAATTCCAACCGAAGAACCGATAGAAGAAACACCATTCACGCCAATCAGACCCGTGTCTCCAGGCGAATCACTTACGCTTTCAACCCCCACGTCCTTGAGAGCATGGACTATTCCCAAAATCACGGCCGAACTTAGGCTCAGGGGAATCCCCTTTCCGGCCACAGCTAGAAAAGCAGAACTTTACAGGCTGCTTACCCAACAAGTCTCCGAGCCTCGGCCGGGAACTAGCTCTCAAGGACAACCACCAAGAAACAGCACGGCAACCCAGGATACCCTGGCAGATATCTTGGCCAATCTACAGACCCTCAATAGCAGGCTGTCTAAGGTGGAGAGCGCCATCTCCTCCTCAGGTACTAACACCATAGTCCCAGTCTCTACCACGGCTGTACCTGCCATACCTACATGTCCCTCTATACTCCCCCCTCCAGCACCTGGCACAGCCATCACACCTTTCGAGTCACCAGCACACTCCGTCCCAGATTCTATCAGGAAAGATATCCTAGACGGGAAGGATGTGTGTCTGGTATCTTTACTCATAGCCTCTCAGGATGTACTCGAGAACAAGGCTTACAATTATGGTGACATCTCAGTGGTGCTCAAAACGAGGGATCCCAGGCTTAATAAAAAATTGTCTATCCCACAGTTTGTGATAGCCTTTGGGATATACCGCGACGTCATTTGTACGGTGTATCCCCATAGGAGAGAAGAGCTAGATCTCTATCTCCACAAGGTAGTGAATCTAGGCATCAAGTACGGGGGCTCTTCCTTCTATGACTACCACAAGTCAGTTTCAGCGAAGGCGGCGACCCACCTCAAGCAGTTCAACATTAGAATGAACTGGGGTCAGATGGACACGGAACTTTTCTGTCGCCACTTCGCTGGACTCAGGCCCCCGGCTTGTGCCATCTGTAATTCTACATCCCACATGGCGGACTTATGTCCCGTCGAACCAGATCCCACCACCTCCACTCCCACCCCTCACCCCACGTTCACACCTCACTCCTCTTTCACCCCTCACAACAAGCCAGCGGGTGGTCTCCGGGATAAGCTGGGTAGGCCCATCTCCTTTTTAGGTAAAGCACAGGTGTGCAATAATTTCAACGCAGGCTCCTGCAGTTTCAGCGCCTGTAGATTATTGCACATCTGCTCCATATGTTTCAGGGCACATACCAAGACCATGTGTCCAGCCAGGTTGTCACCAAACAAATGACTAACCGACATTAATATCGACAACCTGGTTTTTTATCTAAGGTCTCACCCCAGCAGGCACTTAGTGGATTTTCTCACCACAGGTTTCTCACAAGGGTTTCACACAGGCATAGTAGCCATTCCCCCAGGTACACTAGAATGTCCTAATCTCCAGTCTGCACGTTTAGACCCAGTCGCTGTAGACATTCTCATTTCCGCAGAAACCACAAACGGTTTCATGATTGGTCCTTTCACCTCTTCACCGTTTTCCTCCTGGCGCACTAACCCTATTGGTATTGCTATTCACAAATATTCTAATAAAAAACGTCTCATTATCGATTTATCGGCACCGCACTCCTCTTTTGTTCCAAGCATAAACGCACTCATTCCAGCAGACGAATTCTCTCTGCAGTACGTCACCATCGACGACGCCATACAGTCCATCATGACATCTGGTAATCGACCCTGGCTCAGCAAAACAGACATCACTAACGCCTTTAAATTACTGCCCATACACCCCTCACTCTGGCACTTACACGGTGTTAAATGGCGAGGGTATTATTACTTCTCAACACGACTCACTTTTGGTTCTCGAAGCAGCCCCAAACTTTTCGACATTTTCGCGGAGTCACTATGCTGGCTGCTTCTGAACGTCATCAGGTGTCACTCCGTTATTCACTATCTAGACGACTTTCTACTGATAGAGCCAGGGTCATCAACACCCACAGCAATCAATAGTACTACCGCACTTTTTTCCACACTGGGAGTCCCTTTGTCCCCAGCCAAAACTATAGGACCCACTACTAAGTTGACCTTTTTAGGCATAGAGCTCGATTCTGTCAAACTCAGAGCTAGCCTTCCACACGACAAACTTTCACGATTGAGAGGGGAGATAGACATGTTCCTGCGGAATGACGTTTGCACCAGGAGAGAACTTCAGTCCCTTCTTGGTTCTCTGAACTTCGCCATGCGCATCATTCCGCAGGGAAGGTCTTTCATTTCCAGACTTCTTTGCCTGCTCCACGGAGTTCCGGACTCCGGCACAGTTTCTTTGGACCCCCACGCCAAGGCTGACTTGGCTATGTGGGGGAAGTTTTTGAAAGACTGGAATGGTATCTCCATGTTTATCCCCCCTCTCTCCACCTCTTCACCCATCATCCACACAGACGCAGCAGCCAACACCGGTTTCGCAGCCATTTTCGGGAACCACTGGTTTAGGGGCCACTGGCCCACTGAGACGGATGCCTTGCCAGGATTCAGGGAGACCTCAGCCCTATTTGAAATTTACCCCATTGTGGCGGCCGCACACACCTGGGGTCATCTCTGGTCCGGCAAGGCAGTAAAATGCTACTCAGATAACTCGGCAGCTTGCGATATCATTAACAAAGGGCGCTCATCTTCCCTGACCATCATGCGGCTGATTCGCAAGTTGACCTGGCTGGCAGCATCCAATCAGTTTCACTTAGTATGTTCTCACATCCCGGGTATTCACAACACCGCCGCTGACGCTCTTTCTCGTTCTCGATTCCAGGCATTTTCTCAGGCACTCCCAGCAGCTCACCAACAGCCATCCAGGACACCACAGTTTCACGAACTAATATTGGATTAAGCACACTCTTGCTTTACGCTAGATCACTCACTCACCAAGCACTATCACCCAACACTGCTATCACTTACAATAGGGCACTTAACATATTTAACAAATTCACTGCAGAATTCAGGCTACAAGGTGACTTTTCTATCCAAACCATGGTGTCTTTTGCCTCTTTTTGCCACCTACACCTTAATATGTCACACAACACCATTAAACTTTACCTCACCGGGGTTCAGCACCACAGCCTCACCAATTTTCCTAACAGCACTCCTTTTTTGTCTTCATACCCCATTAAAAAGGTCTTGAAAGGTATATCAAAGGTTTCACCACCACTCGCAAGCACTAGATTAGCCATAGACGGGCCTATCTTCAGGTCACTTAGCAATCTCCTTGACACAGCCCCATTTGATAGTGACACCAATACGGTGATAAAATCTGCCATATATCTCGCTTTCTACGGTTTTCTCAGACCTAGAGAGTTCACCGTGATTTGTCAAGGAGATATGGCACGATGCCTTAAAACTTCACACCTCACCAAGGTAGAGGATCACTACCTCCTTTCTATCCCTACCACGAAAACCAACCGATCAATACATCCCACTATAATTCCTCTCTTCCCTACTGATAATGCCTGGTGTCCGGTGAAAGTTCTCGACCAACTACGGTCAACTCTTCACACTCACCTGCCAGACTCTCCGCTCTTAACATTACAAGGGCACCCGCTTACCACGGCTAAATTGATGTTACATGTCAGAACCCTGTTATCTAAGCTCGGACACAACCCGGCTGCATTCTCCGGGCACTCCTTCCGCATAGGAGCCGCCTCAGCAGCCTCTAGCACAAACGCACCGGTCCACATCATCAAAAGGCTCGGGCGATGGAAATCCTCCATATATAATACATATATTCCGCAACCAGAGAAAGAGCTTCGCCAAGCTTTCAGGAACTTGGTCTTGTAAAATGCAATAAAGTGTGTATTTTCTTGAATTTATCTTTTGCCCTCTTTTATTTACAGGCCCACTCGTACGTTGGTTTCGGCACACCACAACCAACTTTGCTCACAGATACTATCCATTACGTATTTAAATTCCGAGCACAAGTAGAAAGGCCATTAGGCCTGAATTTGTGGGAGGAGTAAGTCCCCTACTTAAACTCCCAGCCCCTACTCACCGCTGCCGCTCAGCTGATTGTCCCCACCCACCTACACCCTGTTTTAACTACATTATCCTTGGTGGGCCCTCTTTTATTTACAGGCCCACTCGTACGTTGGTTTCGGCACACCACAACCAACTTTGCTCACAGATACTATCCATTACGTATTTAAATTCCGAGCACAAATATATATATATATATATATATAAATATATATATATATTTCTCAGAATAAACAACATTTCACATTATTCCGGGTAGTATTTGTTAAAGAAAATCAATATTTCTTTAAAAAAAAATGATAAATAGTCATAGTAAGAAGAACTGGTAATAAAAAATAAAAAATATACCAACATAAACCTTAGTAACGCTTTTAGAAAGATTCTTTCACAATTTAATACAGCAAAAAGGGCCTCTAAACTTTCCTCATTTACAATGAAAATTACAAGACCATGACAAAAGTGACCAAAACAATTGTCACTTTTTGACAATTTTTGACAACCAAATATCACTTTTTGATTAGCAATACAGAGAGTATAATAATGTGGCAGAAAAGCGCTTTCTGAAAACTCTTATCCCATGATGCTTGCCATTATAATTGGCCTTGCAAAGACCTCTCATTGAGCTTCATTGGGAAGTCTGTAATTTGACAGTGAAAAAGTCAGGGAAGCCTTGCAGAGGCTCCAGCCAAAAGATCTGCCATTTTTGCCATATGTTTTTTGATGTATAAAAAATGCATAATTAAATGCATGCATGTTTTCATTTGGGATATATCTATAAACAGTGTTTTTTATTTGTATCTGGGCAATGGAGTGTCCCTTTAGGGATGGCATCTAGTTATAAGCTACACTTTACTGTTATGTGTAATTTCATACTGCTACATTAATGTTAATATATTTAAATGTAGGTGGATTGAAGAATCTGACATTTTTAAACTGGCAGTATCACTTTAAATTGTACAACTGTGATTTATCTCAGAGCCAAATATTACACATATTACCTTGGAAATCTAGCCTTTCTCCTTGAAACCATAAATGTCAAAACATTTTTTTTGTCATGAATAGCACATCTTCATAAAATTATGAGAACACATGCATCTGGGGCTCTACTTCAGACAGATGATAACACAGACTTACATGTATGGTTACCAGACCCATGGACACATATCACTTCTACATGTTGATGGGCAGAGCATGAAAGTTGTTGCTCTGAGCAGGGTGAGATTTACCATTAGGGCTAGCAGGGGGGAAAGGGGTGACATTGCAGATAGAGAGGATGTAGTCTGCACCACTGTTGGGTGCTGATCACATTATATGTTCCCTCATGGTCAGAACGCTTCTACAGGAAACCACGGCATGGCTCTGTCACATTCACATTCAATGAGAGAAAGTTTGAAGAAGGTGTTTTTACTAGTCAGCACCCATCTGAGCCAGTAAGCAGCATTCCCAGGACCACCACCATTGCCTTTGCCTACTTGGATCCTGTAAAACCACAGGGTATTGTCTCTCAGTTTATCCTCCTTCTTAGACCAGGTGCACCCCCAGAACAATATGGGGAATATATCCCCACTGGACAACCAGGCATCATGCCCTCTCTCTTCAAAAATGTAAGCAAGGGGGGGCGGGGCCGGACCGCCGAGCTAGCTGGTTGCAAACAAGTGCAGCTCCTGCAAAACAACGCCAATTAAGCTGAAAAACCATGCCTAATCACCTTTAAAACGACCACCAGCAACAGTACCCAGAGCACAGGGACTGCTGGATCTTGGGAGAGGCTGGCTCATCGAGCTTCAGTCCCTGGGAGGAGATGGCCACACCTCCACAAGCAGGGTCTTCTCTGGCGATGAGTGGGGCGGACGGCCGCTGCCCCACTATCCTGCACCACAGTACCCAGCTTGAGGCACGAATCCAGGTGGATCCGGACCCGTTCCCCCCCCCTTGGACCGGTGGGGGTGATCCCGGTCCTCACCCTGTGGCCCTTCTTCAGAGAACACAAATGGAGCTGGGGGACCCGAGAGCGGCCTCCAAGATGGCGGGCGCCATGTGCGCGGGAAGCAGGGGGAAGATCTGCGCCATCTTCGTGTTCGCAGCAGACAACAGGGCTCCAACACCCCAACCCTGCAACAGAGAGGGGCGGACAACCCACTACCTACCCTCGCACCCACACATGCCGAAGTCGAGCGGTACAAGCGACCCCGGCAAGCGGATCATGGTGACCGCACTAGGGGGATGGGATGTGGCGCCACTACCTCCACACGAGGACCCACCTCACAATCACCTGCCGCCCAGCTCGCATCACCGCGACCCAGATAACGGCAAACTTAGGCGATTACAACGGAGCTACTACCCAGGCCTGACACCAGCCCTCAGAAGCAAGTTTCATAACAGGCGGCGGCCATGGACTATGCCTAGATACCTGCTCTGACGGACGCTCGTTCCCTGCTACACAGCACTAGCAGAGCAGGTATCAGTTAAACGGAGACCTCCACCCTCCCCCGGCAGTGTGGGCTCGGGACCACCCTGACGCCAGCCTTCATCACGGAGAAAACCCGGGTAAACCCCCTGATACATCAGGGTGCCAGAACTCTTATGGTGACCTACTTGAATCACACAAGCAAATTCTTTAGCATTCTGTTTTGTGTATTAGCCTAATGTACACGCAGTCTACACGGCACTTACAAGCACACACTCACATAGATATCGCTGCCCTACAAGCAACGCACAAACCAACACACCACATCCACACAGCAGCATGTCATACAAAGCCAAACGTACCCAACCAAGTGAGAACCTATATGACTGTAACCCTGACCTAGTTGTGCATTGATAGTTATGACTGGAGGCTGATACACGAAACTGTATATCTCCCAATAATACATGGACCAACGACTGACCTAGCCAATAATGCAAACAGAGTGTAATTCATGTTTAAAGCTACCGTCCCATGCTTAACTAATACTCGCTACATGACTCAACCTTGATTGCCTTTCGTTAAAAGTGTGTTCACCTTATTTTGTTTCAACAAGTAGCCTACATACAAACCATCAGCTTAAGGGTTAATACTTACGTTATATGCATATTTGACCTAGCATGTCTACTACTAATTGCTAAGCCTGTGATCTTCATGTTATATATACATATATAAAAAATGTGCTGTTTACATTGCCACACTTTGTGATACCTTGAAGACGCCTGCAGATGCTGTTGTGGCCCTGCTCGCATGTTGTTAACTCACGCACAAATAAAATAAAGAATAAAAAAAAAAATGTAAGCAAGGTTGGGGGTACACACTATCCATGGGGCCCTGGTGCGAAAACTGATCCGTGGGCCTCTCGGTGGTTACACCGCGCAGGTCGAGCCGCAACACATGGCGGCGGGCACCCGGTCGCAGGGGTTCGCAGGGTGGCCAAGCCCCCTGGAGTGACGGGCCCAGTCACAGCTGCGACCCCTGTATGTACGCCACTGTACACAAACACACATACATACAAACACACACAGAGACACATATATACAGACACACACAGAGACACATATATACATACAAGCACACATACACACAGACACACAGACACATACAAACACACAGAGACACATATACAGACACACACAAACATACAAACACACACACATGCACAGACATACACACATACAGACAGACACACACACATACATACGCACATACAGGCAGAGAAACATTCATACAGACACACAAACATACATACAAACAAACGCACACAAGTATACAAAATGGGGTCTAGTGGTGGTTCAGCGTGATGGGAGTCAACTAATGGTTGCTGGTGTCATCTCATGTGAAAGCGCTGCAGCACTGACTGGCCACCTTGAAATCCATAGCCATTGGGTGGCTCTAACAGCGCGGGCCAGGGCCGCAACACATGGCGGTGGGCACATGGTCGCAGGGATCTACAGGGCGGCCCAGCCCCCTGGAGTGACGGGCCGGTCGCAGCGGCGACCCCTTTATGTACGCCACTGGTTGACACCCCATGTATCACATTCAGCCATCCACAACATATCACATTCAGCCAGCTTTCCCACACACTCGCGCACAATGCATTGACTCCACTCAGTCACAGGCAGGGGAGCTCTGTGATACATTCCTGCGCTCCTCTTTATTGCTGTGAGTTTTATTGCTGCAGACCTCTGTCTCTTCTCTTCATACACTCTACACAAATATTATGGTGAAGATGCATTGAGGAAACTGGCCTTTGGGCAGCTGAAAAATAAAGTAAATCTGTCCCTGGTCCTGATATACAGTGAACAAAATTATAAACGCAACACTTTTGTTTTTGCCCCCATTTTTCTGAACTCAAAGATCTGAGACTTTTTCTATGTAGACAAAAGGCCTATTGCTCTCAAATATTGTTCACAAATCTGTCTAAATCTGTGTTAGTGAGCACGTCTCCTTTGCCGAGATAATCCATCTACCTCACAGGTGTGGCATATCAAGATGCTGATTAGACAGCATGATTATTGCAATGGTGTGCCTTAGGCTGGCCACAATAAAAGGCCACTCAAAAAAGAACCAAACAGAACAGTGCCTCTCATGTGGGTACCGTCCCCTATGATATGTGCATGGGTGCCTTAGTTTATGGGCCTCAACACCTTAGGGTGGCAGTTGGACAAGTGTATATCGGTGTTCGAGGGTCAATCTTCCATGTCTCTTGTTTCTCTCTATGGAGCCCCTGGGGATGTGTACCTTACTGGCTTAGGTCGCAATGAGCTCAACCCATGCAGTCTTAAATGGTCATCCAGCTTCTCCCAATAGCAGAGTCACCGTTTGGGGGGGTTTACCTCTGCAGGTGGCAGTTGGAGGCTCCACTTGTGTGAACATAATAGACCAAACTCTGTAAGAAAATGTGTTTTTGTCCGTGTCTAGGCCCGGAAAGAGCAAGGCGCTGGGTCAGCTAACGTGTCATATCAGTGTTGGGTATAGTGGAATCCAGCCTGTGGTGACATCCCCGCTGGGGCAGTGCAGTCCCAGTGGGTATCCTTTCCATGGAGTGGTAAAAAGATATTGGGTCTGGCCATTTTAATATTTATTTGTGGCAACTGCAGCACATCCAAAATTTACACAAAGTCTCTGTGGTTTTTTAACAAGTAAGGACCTTCCGAGGTGAACATCAGTAGCCTTGTGGGTAATATCCAGTGGTAGCGGATCCTTTGGCAGGCCAGGGCATGGGTAAGTGGTTCCATGGCTATGTTTGAATTGTGCTGGCTCTGCCCCTGATCTGCCTCTTTGTCAGTCTCAGCTAATCCTATGGGGAAGCATTGTGATTGGATCAGGCTACCACTTCTGATGATCAGCAGACAGCTTGTTTTTCTGAGTCAAACAGCATGCAGTAATATAGTAAGGTTTTGCTATATTTATGGAGGCATGAGGGGCCCAGGGGGGCTAGATGGTGGTTTTAACACTACACCCTGTTCCAAATTATTATGCAAATTCTATTTAAGTGTCACAAAGATTAAATGTTTTGTTTTTCAGTTTAACTCATGGATGGCATTGTGTCTCAGGGCTCTTTTGATCACTGAAAACAATCTCGGACACCTGTGATAAGGTGAGCCCAATTTAAGGAAAAACTACTAAAGGAGGGTGTTCCACATTATTAAGCAGAGCACCATTTTCATGCAATATGGGGAAGAAAAAGGATCTCTCTGCTGCTAAAAAGAGTGAAATAGGTCAATGCCTTGGACGAGGTATTAAAACATTAGATATTTCACGAAAACTTAAGCGTGATCATCGCACTATTAAGAGATTTTTGGCTGATTCAGAGCACAGACGGGTTTGTGCAGATAAAGGCACATTGAGGAAGATTTCTACCAGATCCATGCATCGGATCAAGATAGCAGCTGCTAAAATACCATTACAAAGCAGCAAACAGATATTTGAAGCTTCTGGTGCCTCTAGAGTCCCATGGACATCAAGGTGTAGAGTCCTCCAGAGTCTTGCAACTGTGCATAAACCTTCTATTTGGCCACCACTAACCAATGCTCACAAGCAGAAACGGCTGCATTGGGCAGAAAAATACATGAAGACTATTTTTCAAACAGTCCTGTTCACAGATTAGTGCCGTGCAACCCTTGATGGTCCAGATGGATGGCGTAGTGGATGGTTGGTGGACGGCCACCCTGTTCCAACAAGGCTACGACATCAGCAAGGCGGTGGTGGAGTCATGTTTTGGGCCAGAATCATGGGAAGAGTTGGTCGGCCCCTTTAGGGTCCCCGAAGGTGTAAAGATGACCTCTGCAAAGTATGTGGAGTTTCTGACTGACCACTTTCTTCCCTGGTACAGAAGGAAGAACTATGCTTTCCGTAATAAAATCATCTTCACTCATGACAATGCATGCTGCAAAGAATAACTCTGCATCAATGGCTGCTATGGGAATAAAAGGAGAGAAAGTCATGGTGTGGCCGCCATCCTCCCCTGACCTCAATCCTATTAAGAACCTTTGGAGCATCCTCAAGCAAAAGATCTATGAGGGTGGGAGGCAGTTTACATCCAAACAGCAGCTCTGGAAGGCTATTCTGACATTTTGCAAACAAATTCAAGCAGAAACTGCCCAAAAACTCACTAGTTCAATGGATGCAAGACTTGTGAAGCTGCTATCAAATAAGGGGTCCTATGTTAAAATGTAATGTGACCTGTTAAAATGTTTAAAAAGTTAAAATGTTGTTATAAGTTTGATTAAAATAGCTTTTGATTTCAGTAAATATGCTGCAAACACAACAAATGACAACTTTCAGTTTTTTCCAACCTATAAAGTGTTTTGCAACTTACTGTGCGTAATAATTTGAAACAGTGCATTGTAAGTTTTTTATGTTTTAAAAAAATACTGTTATCATTAGTTTGTTCAATAAAATTTGAATTGTACTCTTAATAGTTGATAACATGAGCATTATGCTGACTGTTATTTACATAAATTATTTAGGTAAATGAGAAAAATATAATTTGCATAATAATTTGGAACAGGGTGTATAGGGTCAGGAATACAAGTTTGTGTTCCTGACCCTATAGTGAACTTTTAAGAACTTTTCTAATCTGAACTTCGTTGCAGGCCTGGTCATGATATCTGCTATTATCCTGTTAGTTGGGCAGTAATCTAGGACCATGCCACCTTCATTGATCAGGTTGCTTTATAATAAATGTCATAATGTCTGGTGTCAGAATAATAAATTAGATAAGAATGACTGTACTTGAAATATCCAAAGATCCCTTTTACACACTTTGAATCTAACATCTTCCAATCCTACTTATGTGCAAAACGTTCTGATCTAAAAATCTTTATTTTAGAAAGGTTTGAATTTTTTTTTGCCCGTTAACAGATTTGTTATTTTTGTAGACTGTTGTTAAAACACCTGTTTTGCATTTAAGCAGCAGTCATAACTGCGTATGTCCATAATTTGTCTGGCAATTTACTTTCGATTAACAAACATCTTACCATTTCATATAGTGTTCTCCATTTTAGCTCAGCAGTGCCATTTTGATGGTGTGAGTAAGGTCTCATGACTAATACATTGTTTGTTTAGTAGTGACCTTATCTGATATAGTTATGGATGTTATACACTTTATGTTTCCCTATGGGGCTGTGTCAGCAATTACTTTTTCAGTGACTAACACAGCATCATTTTGTTTTTCAATAAGTATACAAATACTGTTACAAAATAGTCATCAGTGAATGCCATGTATTTTTAACAAACAATATTAGAATCTTAGAATCGTCGTTCTGAATTCTGAATTTAGGAGTCACATTGCTCACGTTTAACGCTTTATCGTTATTTGAGCTTTCACAGTGCTTTTCAATATCTTAGAAAGGTCTCAGGTGTATCTTAAATGCTACAAAAGGGACTTTATCATCACATTTTGTAATATGAATGGAAAATGACTTAAACAAGTCGGGCAAACCTTTCAGAATCATTGCAATTAGCAATCTGCATTTCTTAACCCCTTAAGGACACATGATGGAAATATTTAGTCAGGATTCCCTTTTAGAAACATAGAATGTGCCGGCAGATAAGAACCATTCGGCCCATCTAGTCTGCCCAATTTTCTAAATACTTTAATTAGTCCCTAGCCTTTTCTTATAGTTAGGATAGCCTTATGCCTATCCCACGCTTTTATTCCAGAAGTTGTGTCTTTAAGGGGTTAATGACTGTAATAGCTGTCTCTGCAATTATAACATAGTCCATCACACTTTCATTTATGCCTCTCTGAATGGACATTAACTCAGTATATAAACTGAATATTCTAGGCTTTTCCTTGCCTGCATAATAATCTCTCAATATTTGAAGCGCTTTCCTTTTATCGCCAGCTACCTCCCTCTTTATTAACCACAGAATCTTACAATTTAAAAACTGAATAAGCTTAGCAAATGCTTCCTCATTCTTATGTGTGTCTTTATTCTCAGCATTAGTATCATCACCATTCACGATTGTTTCCTTAAAGGACCACTCTAGGCACCCAGACCACTTCAGCTTAATGAAGTGGTCTGGGTGCCAGGTCCTTCTAGGGTTAACCCATTTTTTCATAATTATAGCAGTTTCAGAGAAACTGCTATAATTATGAATGGGTTAAGCCTTCCCCCTAATCCTCTAGTGGCTGTCTCATTGACAGCTACTAGAGGCGCTTGCGTGCTTCTCACTGTGAAAATCACAGTGAGAGCACGCCAGCGTCCATAGGAAAGCATTGTAAATGCTTTCCTATGAGACCGGCTGAATGCGCGCGCAGCTCTTGCCGCGCGTGCGCATTCAGCCGGCGGGGCGTAACGGAGGCGGAGAGGAGGAGGAGAGCTCTCCGCCCAGCGCTGGAAAAAGGTAGGTTTTTACCCCTTTCCCCCTTCCAGAGCCGGGCGGGAGGGGGTCCCTGAGGGTGGGGGCACCCTCAGGGCACTATAGTGCCAGGAAAACGAGTATGTTTTCCTGGCACTATAGTGGTCCTTTAAGGTTCATCAATTGGAGATGTCCTAAGGACTTTGTTTCCCATAACTCATAGTTCTTCTCATCTCTATCGAAACACAGCCATTGGTTTCCAGCCTCCCTTCTGGGCCCATAACCTGTTGCAATCTTCATGCTGAGGGTAGAATAACCGGACAAGTGCATACAATAATAGAGGAACACACCAGATACCTGTTTAGAGCTTTAACAGTTTAAGAGGTTCTTGGGCAAAAACTTTATTGTACCATGGACAAAGAGCACATGTGCAAATCAACCAGTGTAAGCTAAAACAATTGTACAGGCTGCACTGCTCCCAGGTCACTTAAAGGCTGGTTTACACTGCCCACTGTTCCTGGGAAGTAGCATAAAAAGAGAAGAGGCAGGATAGTGTAAAAGTGCTTTGAACTAGCTGGGATGGTGGTGGGCAACTGCATTGTGAAACAGTCTAGCTAGGTGCCTGCCCAAAGCTTCTGGTCCCCAACTCCTTTCTTCCTGTAATTAAGTGCTATGAATGTAGCTTCTACTCTGCATAACTTGCTGCCCTCACTGAGGTGTGCGTGGAAGTACAACTCAGCAAAGGTTTCTGGGGTTGTAGATTTTTTTCTAATAACTTGGATTTGTACTTTACTTGCAGATAAAACATAAGAAGATATTCTCTGCTCCATAATAATGCATAGATGTGGTTATTATTACATGCTTTCTAATTAAAGGAACAGTCTTCATATCAAAGTCACTATGGTGAATCATTCTCAGAAACAGCACTGTTTACATTTTGCAATTCCCTTGTCTATAATCACTGCCTATTGAACAGGATCGACAAAGCGATTCAATAATTGAATCTATTTTACATTTGGTGTCAGTATGCAAAGTATGTCGATGAATGACCTTGTGTGCATCCAGTGTTTCTCTCTGAGAGGCATTTGATTCAATTTGATTGCTGCTCATGGCCTGTTTGTCCTCAATAAATAAATATATTAAATGTGTTAGAAAATCTCACACCATCCTCACATGACTTGAGAGGTTAATCTCTATCTTGGAAATCTGGTTCCTTTCGGGCAAACCTGTAGACTCTCATATTGCAGATTACAGCAAACATTATGACTAATGTGCTGGATGCTTGATTTATCTGTCTGGATCTGCACAACCTCCTTGGATTCATGAATATAACCAAAAGGCCATGCATGCCTGTCAGGATTACAGAATGACCCAGCACGTAGAATTGTGTAACACAGAGGACTGATAGGTAACGTATACCGGACCTTAGAATGGCCAGACTAACGTACCAAAGAATAGTTAGGAATAGCCGAGGTCAAGGGAAACAAAAAGAGACACAACAATAAGGAAAATCCAGGAGTCAGGGATGCCAGAAAACAGGGAAGTCAAAAACAATGCCAAAGTCAAATAACCAGAATTACCAGAATCAATAACGCGCTCTCGGACAACCACAAGGGAAACCACGACAGGGCACTGAGCAGGATGAGAACTGGGCCTAAATACCCCTCCTCTAGATCTGATAGGCTGTAACTGGCCTTTGACCCCAAAAGCAGTTACCAGGTTACCATTTGCATAATTGCTGCTCAGCATTAACCCTTCTGTGGATTTGGTTGCTGCTCGGCACAACTTTTCCTGTATGGACAGTAAATGTCATTAACCACATTTTTATAAGTGGATGAATACATGACATTACCCCCCACCTGAAGAACGCCCACCTGGCGGGCAGGACCAGGCTTGAGAAGAAATTTGGCGTGAAAATAGCAAATCTTGCGGCCAGCATGTATATCAGATGCCGGAACCCAAGAACGATCGGCTGGTCCATAACCTTTCCAATCCACCAAGTACTGTAAAGTGCCCCGAGAGAACTTGTAATCAATTATGGATTCCTGTCCAGAAACAACTAAGGGAGGAGGAGGGACACTTGAGACAGTATATTTAGTGCAAACAAGAGGTTTGAGCAAGGACACATGAAAGGTATTAGGAATTTTCAAGGAGGCCGGAAGGGCCAAAGAGTAAGCAACAGGATTGATCCTACGAAGGACACGAAAATGTCCAAGGAACCTAGGAGCAAATTTCATGCTAGGGACTTTGAGCCTGATGTTACGAGAATTTAACCAAACCCTCTCACCCACTTGGTAAACAGGGTTGGCATCTCGACGTGTATCAGCAAAATGCTTGAAACGGTCAGCAGCAGTACCCAGAGCAGATTGAACTTTAACCCAGGTATTACGGATGGAAGCCAGACAGTCATCCAAAGCAGGAATAGCCGTATCTGAAAAAACAGCCGGTAGGACAGTAGGATGCCGGCCATTATTAACAAAAAATGGACTAGGCCCAGAGGAGTCATGGTCAGCATTGTTCCTGGCAAACTCGGCCCACGGTAATAATTCGGACCAATTGTCTTGAGTGCTATTAACGAAACAACGCAAGTATAACTCCAAAGACTGGTTAGCCCTCTCAGCTGTACCATTAGTCTGGGGGTGGTAAGAGGATGAAAAAGACAATTCAATCCCCAATTGCTTATTGAAAGCCCTCCAAAACCGGGATACAAACTGAGAACCTCTATCAGATACAATATTGTGAGGAATGCCATGCAGACGGACAATCTCACGTATAAAGATCAGTACCAGGTCTTGAGATGACGGTAATTTCTTGAGAGGGATGAAGTGAGCCATTTTAGAAAAACGGTCAACAACCATGAGAATAGTGGTATAACCATTAGAACTAGGAAGTTCTACAATGAAATCCATAGACAAGTGGGACCATGGGACCTCAGGAACAGGAAGAGGTTGTAACAAGCCACAAGTGAGTTTATGAGGTACTTTGGAAACCGCACAAACAGAACAAGCCTGCACATACTCCTTAACATCCTTCCTGAGGGAATCCCACCAGAATGAACTCATGATAGCAGAAGTGGATTTATTAATACCTGGGTGACCAGCAGACACATTGTCGTGAAACACCTTCATGATATTAACCCTTTCCCCCAATGAAACGAACAATTTGTCCTGAGGTTTACCGCAGGGCGCCTGAGACTGAGCCTCCATAATGGAGCCAAGCAGCGGAGAGGACAATGAAAGGATAGTGGAAGCAATGATACATTCCGGGGGAATGATATGGGACTTTTCTTGCTCTTGTATAGACTCGGTATCAAACTGTCTGGATAAGGCGTCAGCATTGACATTTTTAGAACCAGGTCTATAAGTAATAAGAAAATTAAAGCGAGAAAGGAACAGAGACCACCTAGCTTGTCTACAGGACAATCGTTTAGCATCTCCTATGTAAGCCAGGTTTTTGTGATAAGTAATGATCAAAAGGGGGTCCTTGGACCCCTATAAAAAATGTTGCCACTCCTTGAGAGCTAGAATAATGGCCAACAATTCCCTATTGCCAATATCATAATTGCGCACGGCAGGAGACAACTTTCTAGAGAAGTAACCACAAGGATGCAATGGAGTATCCTGGCTTTCCCTCTGGGAGAGAACTGCCCCTACCCCTGTCTCTGATGCATCAACTTCCAGTATGAAAGGTTTACTGGTGTCAAGATGTATCAATAAATCGGCAGAGGCAAACCGCTGTTTGAGAGTTTCAAAGGCTTCTATAGCCTCCTTAGACCATATCAAACTGCTAACCCCCTTGCGTGTCATATTGGTGATGGGGGCTATTACTGAAGAAAATCCCTTTATAAACTCTACTGTAATAATTGGCAAAGCCAATGAACCTTTGCATGGCTTTCAACCCAGTAGGTAAAGGCCATTGTAGAACCGATTCCAGCTTTTTAGGATCCATCTGAAACCCAGAGGCAGAAATATTATATCCCAAAAACTGTACTTTAGATTTGTCAAAGATGCATTTTTCTAATTTACAATAAAGGTGATTCTTTAACAAGGTCTGCAGAACTTGTCTAACGTGATCGTGGTGAGTCTGAATGTCATGAAAAATAAATAAGGTTATCATCCAGATAGACCAAGACAAACAAGTAAATGTAATCCCTGAGTACATCATTTATGAAATCTTGGAAAACCGCTGGAGCATTGCGCAACCCGAATGGCATCACTAAATATTCATAGCGTCCACTTCTGGTATTAAATGAAGTCTTCCACTCGTGGTTTTCCTTGATTCTCACTAAATTGTAAGCACTTCTAAGATCAAGCTTAGTAAATACTTTAGCGCCTAGGAGTCTATCAAATAATTCAGCAATAAGAGGAATGGGGTAGGCATTCTTAATGGTGATTTTGTTCAATGCCCTGTAATCGATACATGGGCACAACTCACCGTCCTTTTTAGATACAAAAAAGAATCCTGCCCCAGCAGGTGAGGATGATTTTCGTATGTGGCCTTTATTCAATGAATCCTTAATATATTCCTCCATTACGCTACTCTCCTGAGGTGACAGAGCATAGACTGCTCCCTTAGGTGGCATAGCGCCGGGTAGTAAATTAATGGAACAGTCATAAGGTCTGTGAGGAGGTAGAGTATTCGACTGAGTTTTGCTGAACACTTCTTTAATGTCTTGGTACTGTATAGGGATTTCCGGGTTTTGAGGTGTACTAGTGGGTAATCCAATAGTGCCCACTCTTTTGGCAACATTCAATATACACCTTTTATAACAATCATTTCCCCATTAGCCCAGTCAATATGAGGGTTATGCTTGTTAAGCCATGGAAAGCCTAATATGATTAGACAGGAAGGGTATGCAATAACCTGAAATGTAATCTCTTCCTTATGTAAGGCACCAATGGACAAATTAATGGGTAAGGTTTCGTGTGTAATCAATGGTTGTGAGAGTGGTCTCCCATAAATAGCTTCAACAGCTAGGGGTGATATTCTCTCCTTGATAGGTATAGTATTACCAAATTGAACGTCGATGAAGTTTCCAGCGGCACCTGAATCCATCAGGGCTTTGCATGAAAAGTTCTTCTTTTCAAAGGCAATAGAAATATCAAGGAGAAACTTGTTTTTATCCATTCCAGAGGACGTTTCCATTACACCCAAGACCTGTCCCGTTAACCCCTTAAGGACACATGACATGTGTGACATGTCATGATTCCCTTTTATTCCAGATGTTTGGTCCTTAAGGGGTTAAGGTGCAGCAGTTTTCCAGACGTATGGGACAATTGTTTCTCATATGTCCTTTTCTACCGCAGTATAGACATAGGCCTTCTTTTCTCCTATATTGTCTTTCTGCTTCCAATAGTCTAGTGACCCCCAACTGCATGGGTTCGGGTTCGGACTGTACAGGAATTTCAGGGACAATAGGTTTGGAGAAGTGGGGTGCTAAAGGCATATTCATGTGTCTGGTCGTGTTTCTAGTAGCTTCTCTGGTTCTCAATCTATTATCAATTTGCATGACAAAAGTGATAAATTCATTAAGCTTGTTGGGTAAGTCTTTGGTGGCAATCTCATCTAGTATAGTTTCAGATAGTCCCTTTTTAAATGCAGAGATTAACCCACTATTAGTCCAGTCTACCTCGGAAGCTAGGGTATGAAATCCGGTTCCCTTGTCTGATATGCACCAGGGCAGTAGAGACATCTTCCTCCCTGCCTAATGGTTCAAACGTAAGTTTAAATTCCATAATAAACTCCTGGTAATTGTGTGCCACACTCCTATTACTCTCCCATAATGGATTGGCCCAAGCTAAAGCTTTATCTTTTAATTGATTCATCAGGTAACCAATTTTAGCTCTGTCTGTGGGAAAAGATCCCAGTGAGGCCTCAAAATGATACTCTATTTGGTTAAGGAATCCCTGGCATTCTTGGAAATTACCATCAAAATGCAGAGGAGGAGATAGAGAGATAGTTGGTGCCTTGTATACTATAGGCTGAGGTACACAAGGCGGAGGTGAGACAGTAGGAGCAGCCGCAGGTTTCAGATGCGCCGTACAAGTAAGATGCATACTAAAAGCCTGGGCAAATTGATCCAAGCGGTGATCATTCTCCTCTAGTTTGCTTTTGCAAGCAGCTTTGTACTTACACAATTCTACAGGATCTATGGCCATGTCGTAATGTCGTAATCCTTTAGTCTCTCTACACTTGTAACCCTGTGCTATAGCACCTATAGGTGCTATCACCTGACAAGGGGAACACTGGTTAGCAATTATTTTCTCCTTTTTTGTTCCCCTCAGCTTTTTAGCGTTATTTCCTTTTTTCACTTATACTTATTTTAACTAATTGAATTAAAAGTTATATTTGACCTATTATTTGTTAAGACCACTTTGGGGTTGCTGTAGTAGTACAAGAGCCATAAAGGGACTCACTTAGATACTCTTATCATTTCCTCTTTAGGCTATCTTGTACATTTTTCTTTTCCTTAAAATTATGTACCGCTTTTACACTTTAGTTTATACTTGCATATGTTTTAATACAGATTTTCATTTGACCGTTTGTAATGTATATCTGTTACTATTAAAGGTGCAATATATACTACAAAAGTTGTTGGCGATGACCCATTTAGAAGTTGGTGAAATGGATTTTGGAGAAATCTTATCTACTATGTCTCCTGGATTGTCCGTCTGGCAGTTTCTTGAGTTAGTGGCTTCGCCAAAAATCCTGCAGGGGATAAGTCGTGAAAGTCTGAGCATGGCTATTCAGGATTTGTATGAAGAAGTCATTCAGGATGTGTTGAAACAGGTAGGAGGCGTTACTATTTGTCTACATATCACCCATGTCAATGAAAATCCAAAATCCTAAACTTTGCCTATCTGTTCATTACATTATTGTGTCTGTGTATGTCTGTTCATGGTTCTGTAATTAGCATGCAATCCATCTGTGAATCAAGGTTTGTGGTTGCATCTATTGTTGTCAGTGAGCTCAATGGTAATTATTTATGATTAATCATTAATTTCTTTATTAACATTGCCCTTTCCTGGAATACACATGTCTCTACTAAATCTACTTAGTTATCATCTGATGTAACTTTATCCTGCACATTTTCACTTCATTGTATTTTACCCACCTGTATATATTTTATTAATTTATTTATGTATTGTTATTCTCCACTAGTTTGTTATTTTAACATTGTTTTCTCTATTACAACCTGGGGATATATATTATTTGTTTCTCTCTTTACCTTTATGTCTTGTCCTGTACGCTAAATTTAGTTTAGCCATCCCTACTCCATATATGTGGCTTGTTTACTTAACCCCTTAACGCCGGAGGGCGTACTATTACATCCTATTTTAAGCGGCTCTTAACGCCGCACGGGCGTTACCCGATCCTACGCCAGCGATCGCAGTTGGGGGAACTCCCAGGGAGCCCCCCGTGTCACATCCGACGTCCTGAAGCCCCCTTCCCCGGCCATGTGAGAGTGAGGTCCTTGCGAGGACCTCACAATCACATGGCCGGGATAGCTGGCTTCTGTACTGCCAGCAGGGGGGCTGGAAATAAAATTAAAGTTAAAAGTGTAAAAAAAAAATATATATATATGATCTAAGTATATATATACACATACACACACATATACTGTCTAGGTGTATTTTAGTATTAATATATATATAATTATATATATATTAATATCAAATTACACGTAGACTGATACTGATTAAATATATATATAATTATTGTTATATATATATATTTATATATAATATAAAAAAAAATGTAAATACGTTAAAAAATAAAATTTTAAAAATAATTAAAAATAAATAATTAAAAAATATATAGATGTGTGTTATTTCATTCTAACTGTATTGTGATATTAATATATATATTTATATCAAAATACACGTAGAATGAAATAATATATAAATCTATATACATAAATATATACGTATATATCACTATATATATACCTATATATAAATAAAAATATTTAAAAAAAATTATATATATATATATATATATATATATACATATATTAATTCTACATATATATTTATGTAATATTTTTACATAATTAGGTATTTTAATTAATTACAATTAGCGGGACCTGCCTGACAACCCATGCCGAAAGTATAGGGAATTTAATTTGCTAGCACTATATTTAACCCTATAACTTTCCAAGACACCATAAAACCTGTACATGGGGGGTACTGTTCTACTCGGGAGACTTCGCTGAACACAAATATTAGTGTTTCAAAACAGTAAAATGTATTACAACGATGATATCGCCAGTAAAAGTGAAGTTTTTTGCATTTTTCACGCACAAACAGCACTTACACGGACGATATTATTGCTGCAATACTTTTTACTGTTTTGAAACACAAATATTTGTGTTCAGCGAAGTCTCCCGAGTACAACAGTACCCCTCATGTACAGGTTTTATGGTGTTTTCAAAAGTTACAGCATCAAATATAAAGCTAGTGTTTCATTTTCTTCATATTAAAATTTGCCAGATTGGTTAGGTTGCCTTTGAGACCCTATGGTAGCCCAAGAATGGAAATTACCCCTATGATGGCATACCATTTGCAAAAGAAGACAACCCAAGGTATTGCAAACGGGGTATGTCCAGTCTTTTTTAGTAGCCACTTGGTCACGAACACTGGCCAAAATTGGCGTTTTTTGCATTTTTCACACACAAATAAATACTAACGCTAACTTTGGCCAGTGTTTGTGACCAAATGGCTACTAAAAAAGACTGGACATACCCCATTTGCAATACCTTGGCTTGTCAACTATTGCAAATGGTATGCCATTATGGGTGTAAATTTCATTCCTGGGCCACTATACAGTCTCAAAGGCAACGTAACCAATCTGGCGAATTTCAATTTCAAATGTAACGTGTTATATTTGACCCTGTAACTTCCCAAAACGCCATAAAACCTGTACATAGGGGGTACTGTCTTACACGTGAGACTTTGCTGAATACAAATATGTGTATTTTATTGCAGTAAAACAAACAGTATTATGACATTGACAGTTAAAATGTCATGTAGAACTAAAGAAATTTTTAAAAATCTTATTTTCTCCCATTTTTTGTCATATTAAATTATGTTTCATAGCTAAATATTTGATATTAAATGAAAGCCCTGTTTCCCCTGAATAAAATGATATATAATAAGGGTGGGTGCATTTACTATGAAAGAGGTGAATTATGGTTGGACAGACATGTAGCGCAAATGCCAGGTTTTGTTTACATTTTGTTTTGTTCACAACATGTACATTTGGCTCCGTCCTTAAGGGGTTAATTGTGTTATTCACCTATTAGCATACCTCTAATGTATTTTCTCTGTAATTTCTGTACCCCCTTCTTTTATTAAGAGCTAAACCAATTGTTTGTTTTGCTTGACTAACTGTCACTGTCACCTGTGTACAGATGCATCATAGCTTTATTGCAGGCTTATTTGACCCTATTATCTTTCACCCACAGCCTGAGTTAAAGGTTTCCTACCTCAGACCTGAACAGAACCTGCACTCCCACACTGCCCTTCACCCACCTAAATTCAGCACACACCTAAAGTTTCTTAACCTCTCACACTCCATCCTCAGTCTCCCTACTCCTAGTTTAATGTTCCAAATCAATCCTATATCATTTTTCCAAAACATTCCTAAACAATCTCATCTTGGCCCCATCCATACAAAACCATCTCTCACGTCTTGCCATTATCACTCATCATGCTTCTAGAAGCTGATATCTTTCCCAACCCAGGGCCCTTTACCTCCTCTGCTCACCCCTTGCCCAAATCATACTATCCTTGGTACATCAATCTTGTTGAAACCTCCACTGTCTTGACCTACAGCAACTCTCCACCAAACTCTTCTTTTTTTTTTTTTTATAAATTCTTTATTTTGAGAATTTTAGAGTGTTATACGGGGTACAGAAAAAAGAAAACGGAGTATAGGGAAGCAACAGTTCATAATGTGCAGTATCAACACGTAGACATCATTCCTAAACTTTCGATGTCCCCCGAGTCTGAAGTCCCAATGAGCATGTATGGGCCGTCGGGGAGGAGCCTGTCCCTTCACCCATAGAGGGAGAGGGTGCAGAGAAAATTTTGAGCTGCGCCACTGGACCTGCGTAGACTATGGCCTAAGTCAGTGTTGCAACTGTAGAGTGAGGTCGTCTGACACGTAACTTATCCGAACCGTAAGGGGAAAGCTCAACTGGAGCTAACATGGGAGTTAAGGCCTAACTATGTCTAGGCGTGGTGAGAGGAAAAGAAGAAGAAGAAAAAAAAAAAAAAATAATAATAATTAGGTATGTAGTATGTAGGTCTCTATATGTCAGTGTAATGTCTCCCTTGTTCTGAGTGCTTGTAGTCTGTCCACGTGCGTGCAGGAGGCGTGCATAAGTGGTGGAGCCATGCTCAAAAATCTGGTGGTAAGAGGGTCCGGGGATCCAAGGGCTCCCCCCTGACCTCCGTCCCCCACTCTCCCAACCGATGCAGTCGTCTCATGAACCAGGGCAGATAGCTCATCCATCTCCTTGGACTCCTCTATTTTCCTTCGTACTTCTGGCAGAGTTGGGATTTCCGCCCTCCCCCAGTGCGCTGCAATAGCCCGCCGTGTTGCGAGGGCTATTTTTGCCACTAATTTATTCTGTGCCCTCGGTAGTGCTTCTAAGGGTTTGGACAGCAGCCATGTCCACGGGTCTAATGGGAGGGCCATTTGTAAGGCTCTGGAGGCAACGTCAGCAACCGCCTTCCACAATTCGGATATATATATGTGGAAGGGGTATGCCACTCAAAAAGCGTGCCACGGTCATAGAGGTGGGCATAAAATCGATTGAATATCTCCGCTATCTGGGTCGGGTCGTCATGTCGGTGCCCGTCCGGAGCCATAATCGAGGCTGTGCGTTTGCGTAATGATTTACGCCGCAACCTGTTCGCCAGTAGAGAATCCGCTTTATTGGATTTCTCATAGAACAATTGTTTGGTCCATAGGAGTGCTTTCGTGGAATCCCGGGCCATGAATGCCTGTATGGCTTGTCTATGTGTCTGAAGCTGTGTAGCGAGGTCCAAGGTGGGAGTGAGTTTATGTAAGCGTTCTAAGCGTCTGAGCTCAGAGAGGTGATGTATCAACTGTGCCAATTTGCGCTTTTTGTGTGTTGTCCCCTCCGCTATTAGCGTACCTTGGATCACCGCCTTATGGGCCGCCCACAGCATACTATCCGAGGGTACCGACCCTTTATTGGTGGTAAAGAAGGTCTGTATGGCCTGTCGGATTTTTTCTTGTATGAGGGGAACATGGAGGAGTGTGGGGTTCAACCTCCAGTGCCACTGTCTGCTGGCCTGGGGGAGCTGGACCGAGAGGGTGATGTCTGCATGGTCCGACCATGTGATCTGCCCAATGGAGGTTTTGTGTAAAAGCGGGATCACGGACGGGGATGTCAGGAACATATCTATTCGTGAGTACGAGGTATGGGGATGAGAGAAGAAGGTGAAATCCACTGTCAGGGGGTGTTGAAGCCGCCAGACGTCGACCAACCCTGCCCTCGTCAAGAAGGACTGCAGGAGTTTATCTGATTTTGCCACGGGTGGGTAGGAAGAGTCCCTCTGGGCCTGCTTCTTCCTGTCCTGATCTGGGGCCGAAACCGCATTGAAGTCCCCACCAAGGATAATGTGGTGAGATGGGAAAAGGTTCAAGTGAGCTAGAAGGGCCTCCCAGAATTGCACCGATGGGGTCGTGGGGGCGTAGACCGACGTGATAGCGTATTTATGCGAGCCCAGGTGACCCGCTACTGTCAGATACCTCCCAAGGGGGTCTGCAACTGTGGACGTAAAGTGAATGGGACATGTCCCATGGACCAGAACAGCAACCCCATTTTGCTTGCCCGAGGGCGAGTTCGCTAGGTGGTACCCCGTGTAGTGGCGATTGCGTAAAGGGAAGACCCTGGACTGCTCAAAATGAGTCTCCTGGAGAAGGACGACATCCGCCCCAGTCCTACTGGCCCACCGAAGAACCCGGTGCCGTTTAGCTGGGTTATTCAAACCCTTACAGTTTATCGAGACGCAGTTAAGCCTAAGCGGGGCCTTTCCTGCAGTGGGTCCCCGGTCGTTCGGATTGTCCCGGACCCCCGGGGGCATGACTCAGACCGACCGGCAAGCGAGGGGGGGATGCTCCACTGCCACCTCCTCAGGTCAGTAGGAGAGGTGGAAGAGAAGAAAAAGGGGAAGAAGGGTAAAGGCCTGGGCCTAAAAGAGAAATGCCAAGCCGCAAGGGTGGATGGGCCTAGTGAGGTTATGAGGTGTTCGAGTGCCCCAGGTCGGGGTCTCAAAGGTGTTGAATGTGGGGGGAAAGATGGGCCACAACTATCAGCCCCTCCCCCCCGTATGGTGCCTACTATAAGTGCCTGGCACGAGATTATAAGGAATAGAGAACATTTTGTATCTTAATCTAAAACAGTGTGTGGTGCAAAATGTCCATTACCGGAACCGTAAGTGCAAAATTACCTGTGTAAAGTCACCCTGAAGCTGTCAGGGTTTCTACGCTACCCGCTGTCAGTCTCAAACTGTGTGCCTATTCTAGGACCCTCTATAAAAGCCTATCCTCCCTGCGCGCACGCCAGGGCCAGGTCCAGTGAGTCTCGAGGGTCGTTCCAGCCATCCCGTGAGGAACCTCTACAGTGCTCGGGAAGTCAGCCGCATACCCTGCCTCTTCCTTCCCCTCACTCCCCCCCTGTACTCCAGCAGCTTGCTATTCCTGTATCTGGTTCCACCTCCCATGATTCCCTCTCCTTGTGCAGTTCAGAGATGTCCGTTTGCAAGTGTTTTTGTTTCCCATTTTCCCCCCTCCTCCCCCCTTCCCTTTCCCCCTCTTTTTTTTTTCCCTTTCCCTTTTTGTTCCTTCTTTTCCTTTTTTCCCCTTTTCCTCCTGTTCCTGTTTTTTTTCCCCCCCCTTTTTTTTTTTTTATTGTACTTTTATTGTTCTTTTTTCCCCCCTTTTCCCTTTCCCACGTCACGATTCGTGGAACCTAACACGCTGGCACACACACACACACACAGAAAAGGTGCCGTACCGGACCTTAGAGTGGCCGGGCTAAGCACGCTAAGAATAGTCAGGAGACAAGCCAGGTAAAGGGAGCCAGAAAACAGGAGAACGAGAAAAAAGCCGAGGTCAAAGGAGTGGAGAAGACAGAATAATCGGAATAACGAGCCAAGTAATCGGTAACCAGAGAGCAAGACGAGAACACTACGCTACAGGTATCACAAGACCACAACAGGGCACTGAGGGACAGGAAAGGTAAGTATAAATACCCTTGGTTTAATTCTGATTGGATAACTTCCAATCAGAATTAACAATCACACGTGGGGGATATCTATACTCCCCACTGTGATTGTGGTACTGTTTCTTTAACGCCGGGTCACTCACGTGACCCCGGCGTTTACATAATTCATTGACCTCCCAGCGTGCAGCGTTATACAGGCCGAGAGGTAAGCAGAGGGGAGACCGCGGGCGGCGATGTAGTGAGGGTGAGTGCGGCAAGCGGCGTGCAGCCTCCCCTCCTAGCCGCCCGCGGATCCCTGACACCCACTGTTTCCCCCCCCCCTTTTTTTTTTTGTTCCCTTCTTTTTCTGTTATCTTTTCTCCTGTTTGTTAACTTTACTTTTCCCCCCCTGCTTCTTTTCGTGGTGTTGTTGTCCCCCCTACTCCCTCCCCCCCCTTGTGTCCTTCCTTGTTCCACCCTTTTCCCCTTTTCCCCTGTGTTTCCTTGTTCTGGGCCCCACTTGTGTCTGTCTTGTGTGCCGATTCCCCCCCTTCCCTATGCTGCCCCAGTGTGTTTACTACCCTGTTCCTTCCCATCCCCTGACTCCTATGGTGTGTGCGGTTGTATGTAAAGTGCTCCCCATGTTGGCTACCTGGGTAATTGTTCTCTGAAGCTGCCCCCCCATCCTCCCCCCAAGTATGCTAAACTACATTCCCAGTCCCCTCCTATCTCCAGGCCTCCCCGCTCACCCCTACCGACTCATACTCTATCATACTTATGTCTCCGCTCTTGCATCCACGGTTCAGGGTATAGAGGCTTTCTAATCTCACCAGTGGTAGGGAAGCAGGACCCGGGGGTCCAGGGACCAGCTGTACCCCCCTCCTACCCCACTAGAAGCCCCCCCGGCAGTGCCTCTCTCACCACTCCTGGAATGTAAGACCCCCCGCCTCTATCAACCCTAGAATCCCTCAGTTGGCCTAGTACCCGATGCGCTAGGACCCCCCTCTAACCCTCCCCCCCCGGGTGCTCACAGTTTAGACAGGTGATTCATGCGAGTAGCATAGTCCCAACAAGCCACGCCGGCTGTGCGTCCGTCCAGGGTGAGCCGCCACCCCTCTAACTCTGCATCTGCCGCTGTTGTCTTCGGGGGCTCTGCTCCAGCTCCGACGTCCTCTTCCTTGGTGTGCGTCGCGTCCCGTTGTCTGCTCCGTCGGCCGCCAATCCCGGTCCTCTCCCCGCCCCCGTCGTCCTCTGCGCAGGTGGTGGCAAGAGCTCCAGGCCCAAGGAAGCCGCAAAGGGGGCCATCTCCGAAGTACAGCTCAAAATGAAGGTCTGTTCGTCCTTGCGGACCACCAGCTTGAACGGATGGCCCCACATGTATTTGATGCCATAGTGGGTAAGCGTGAGCGTGAGCTGTCGAAGGTCTCTCCTCTTCTTAAGGGTCAAGGGTGCCAGATCTTGAAAGAGGGCCAGATTTCTGTTCCGGTAAGATGGCGGGTTTTGCCGCGCTTTTTGTAGGAGCTGTTCCTTAATAGGGAACCGGTGCATGCGGGCAATAACATCTCTTGGGGTATCCGGACTCAGGGTTGGAGCCCTGAGGGCCCGGTGCACTCGGTCCATTGCCAGGTCTCTCTCCGTCGCTTCAGGCAGCAGGGAACGGAAAAGGTTGGTGATTGTACTTTGCAGGGCATCGTGTGTCACCGTCTCCGGGAGGCCCCGGACCCGGATATTGTTTCGCCGCGAGCGGTTGTTTAGATCCTCCAGCTCCTCCTCCAGTGCCGTGATCTTCCCGTGCAGGTAAGTAAGGTCTTGGGAGTGGGAGCTGGAGGTCTCAGCTAGGGCCGTCAGGCGAGTCTTTGCCTGGTGAGTGCGGCGGGACAAGGCCTCGATGTCGGTCTTCAAAGCATGAATGTGCCGTTCCAGCTCAGTTGCCGTGTGGGCTTTGATATCCGCCGTGGCATCCAGCAGGAGCGCCTGCAGGTCTCTTTTAGTCAGCGGGTTGTCGTCTGGCTCAGGAGCCGAGTCAGGGCTAGTGTCGTCCATGCTCCCTCGGCAAGATGGCCGCCAGGGAGTGCTCTGTGAACGAAACAACGAGGCCACTGACGGGTTGTTCTCCTTCTTTTTCTTGGGGCCCCCCATGCCCAAGTGATCCCCTCGGGTCAGGCAAGGTGGGGGAACCGTGTTGTACAGAAAGGGGGTGCCTAAGGCCGCAGATGTTGGCGGATTCTACTACAGGGGGAGAGAGAGCCGCAGAACTAAGCAGCCATCTCGTACCAAGGCCAGGCTCCGCCCCCCCAAACTCTTCTTTTATCCAACTCAAAGCTCATCTGCCCTAGCTTTGCAACCTCCCTCTACAACTCCACCCTCTCCCTCTAAATTAGATATCATGGCAGTGTGATAAGGTGAATGGGGTGGTCTGTGAGGGAGTTTATATTTCGACTGACTTGTTCAGAGAGGCATATGATTTTTAACCCCAGGAGGAGTGTGTTTTACGGTGTGTATATAACCGAAATTAATATTTAGTTATGGGCCCCTGGGGTGGAGCATTTGGAGAGCAGGGTGGGCCAGTGCTCCACTCCGCAGTTTAGCGGTTTTCTTGGGAGACATAGATCCAGGCCAGGGTTTTTGAACTGTCTCCAACCCACTGCTCAGCTGCAGGTAATCAGCTGCAGAAGTGGGAATAAACCCCTCCCTGCTAGGCAGGTAATGGAAGAATGTTTGTTTTCTCTCTTGAAGAGCTGACAGCAGCAGGCTGATTAAACACTGGAGTGCTGAGAGCTGACAAAGACACTAGGTTGGTGAAACTAATATTATTTTGTTATAGCTTAACCCTGACCGATAGGGGATCTGATGTTAGTTAGTGTTCAGACGAGCTAGGTTTTTGTTTATAGGGATTTTGTTACATTATTGTTTTGTTTTTTTTCATCTACTGCTGTCTCCTGTGTGGATTTACAAATAAAGTGCTTGGAATTAATTTCCTTTTAAAGACTATGCCTGTTTGTACCCAAAAGGACCGTGCTACCTGCAGACAAGGATCACAGCACCTTAAATATTGTAAGTGACCCATTATATTCAAAAATGCTCCAGAACTGCTGAATGCTGCAGGAGAAAGTCTCATCCTGCATTTGACTTCCTCCTCTATAAATGTATGCTATGCTTGTTCTTCAAAACCCTCATACCCACCCTCTGGTGGAGGTTAACACAGTAAAGGAGTTCAAGCATGTGTGGGATAGGCATAAGGCTATCCTAACTATAAGATAAGGCTAGGGACTAATGTAAGTATTTAGAAAATTGGGCAGACTAGATGGGCCGAATGGTTCTTATCTGCTGTCACATTCTATGTTTCTATGTTCTCTACGAAGTACCAATATCTCTCAAAAACCGGCCTCCCTCCTCTGTTCTATGTTCACCAATACCCACTATGCCAGCAAAGGTTTCGACTCTGCTTTGGTCCTCCAGCCCCACCAATTGCTCCCTCGATCTTATTCCTTCACATCTCACTCACGCTCTGTTTCCTCTTCCTCTAAAATATTTAATCTCCTCTGGCATATTTTCTTCACCCTTCAAGCACACAACCATCACCATGATTTTAGAAAAGCCCAACCTTGACCCTAACTCACCATCCAACTGCCACCCTATCTTGCCTCCAAGATCCTCAAGAGAGTTGTGTATGCTAGATTAAATCCAACTCTCTACTTGACCCACTACAGTCCGATTCCACGCTCATCACTCTGTCGAAACTGCCTGACCAATGTTTACAATTATTTAATTTCTGCTAAATCCATTGGTTACTACTCATTAATTCTCCTTGACCTTTCTGCTGTTTTCAAAACTGTTAATCATCAACAATTTATCATACTACATAATCTTGATTTACGTGATTGTGCTCTTTCCTGGTTTTCCTCCTCCCTCTCCCAGCACTCTTTCAATGTTTCTTTTTCTGGCTTTTCCTCTTCTCCACAACCCCTCTGTGTTGGTGTTCCACAAGGTACTGTCCTTGGTCTATTCCAGTTCCCGATCTATAATGCCTCCATTGGTAAACTCCCCAGCTTTTTTGGCTTCCAATATCATTTCTATGTGGATGACACACAACTCTATCTTTCCTCTTCTGATCTGTCGATGTCCCTCTTGACTTGTGTCTGTGACTGCCTCTCTGCTATTTCTAACTGGATGGCTGCTCACTTTCTTAAACTTAACCTGTCCATAACAGAGCTTCTCATCTTTCCACCCTCTAGTGTTGCTACTCATGTATCTGCCTCCCTCTGAGTCAATGGCACTACCATCAGCTCTACCTCACATGCTCACTGCCTCTTTGACTCCAACCTCTCTTTCACCCCTCATGTTCAGTCAGTTGCCAAATCCTACCGCTTTCATCTCAAAAACATAGCTCACATCTGATAGGGCCTATGCGGCTAAGGAGCAGGTCCATGTCGCTATATTCTCTCACTTTGACTACTGCAATCATCTTCTCAGTGGTCTTACATATTGCCAGCTTGCACTGTTACAGTTTATAATGAATACAGCAGCGAGGCTCATTTTGCTATCTGCCCCACCTCCCTTCTATTAGTCCTTACAATGGCTTTCTGTAAGATTTAGGGCTGAATTTAAAATATTCTGGTGCTAGCTTACAAATCTCTAGTTAATGCTGCTGCTCCCTATATAGCCTCACTAATACACTAGTATGTCCTATCCAGTCCCCTACGCTCTGCCAAAGATCTGCGTCTATCCTCTGTTCGCATTTGCCCTACTGATGCCCGCCTTCATGACTTCTCTAGGACTGCACCTTTCTTATGGAACTCCCTTCCCTGCTCTGTTAGACTTTGTCTCATGTCCTTCTTATGGAACTCCCTTCCCTGCTCTGTTAGACTTTGTCTCATGTCCTTCAGAAGATGGTTAAAAATCACTTCTTTAGGAAAGTATATAAATTAAACTGTTCATAATTTTGGCAACCCACCCTGCTTTCTCTCCTCTCGCAACTGTAACATACAAAAAAACTGACCCTTCATTGTAAACTATTCTAGTAACCTACTTTTTACATCACATGAATTATATTCTAATCTTACCTCTTGTGCCACTTTACCCCACTCCCTTTGGAATGTATGCTCGTTTGAGCAGGGCCCTCAACACCCTGTTCCTGTGCGTTCACTTGTCTTGTTGCAAATACTTGTCTGTTAGTTCATCTGTTGTACAGCTCTGCAGAATTTGTTGGCACTTTATAAATAATAACTGGTTATCTTTTTTTCAGGGCTACCTTCTTAAGAAAGGAAATTTACGGAGGACGTGGACTGAGCGTTGGTTTATACTGAAACCCAGTTCCTTGTGTTACTATGTTAGCGAGGAATGTAAAGAACAGAAGGGGAGTATTAATATAGACAAAGACTGTGGAGTTGAGGTTAGTATTTTCATACATACAACATAAACCTGCAAATAATAAAGCATTTTTGGAAAAATTGATATGAAAAGACAGTGACTTATGCTAGAGATTTATTTCTGGGTGGTGACAGGGAATAAGTTTACCTGTTCAGTAGCAAACAACCTTTAGGTCACGACATTCGCCCACACCTCTTACGCCAAACCACCGGAATACCGGAATACCCACATAACAGTAACAACTAGACGCACCGCTCAATGCCCTAAGGAAACAAAGACCCACACTGTACCCAGAGTCATTGATGATGAACCGAACTCCGGACAGAACTAGGAAGAACTACGGGCCAGTATAGACCCTAGAAGAGGACACTGGCCAATTACACAAACCCCTGCACGAAACACCAGTTACAGACACCCACCTTAACACATTCAGGGTTCACACATGACATGCTCCTGAGAGGATGACCACCGAAACACGTTAGATTGCCTGTCCCTAAAAGCAAGGTCGCTAGTTAAGGTAAACAACATAACACCTGCACGGGTAAAACGAACCGCGAGTAGAACCTCACAGAAATAGTATTGGCATAAACAGATGAGTCACAATAGTTAAATAATTCTGCACCTCTCCTTGCAAGGTAGTAAAGGACCAAACGCAAAGCTCGACTATTACCTTTTCAGTTTTGTTACATAATGCAATGGACTGTTAACCAGTGTTTAAATACGAACTGCTTTTCCCACAAAAATGCTGCACAACGGTCTTTCAAATGCCTAACTCCATACTTACTGATACCCACCATATGTAACATCGTACAAAACAGACACACGCTCACTCTAAAATAATGCAAACCCGCTTGAACCTACACGCCTCTACGTAGGCAATCACATGCTTTCACAACTATGTTACGACATGTCAGCACTACCTTTCTCGTTAATCAATTATGAACCGTGTGACGCTATATGATTTTGCTTAAAGGTTGATGTAACAGGTTACTATTCCTATAATAATACGATGTGCCACAATCCTACCCATCCTGAACATAGACGCTGCATAGCTATCCCCACATAACTTAGTAGGTATCTACCCATGCAGTAAGAAGACCTAACCTACTTTAAACTAGATTGGTACAGATGAACCACACTATGTTTTATCGACTACATGCTGTACGTTGCAGTATTTTTCATTTGCATATATGTTTAGCACAACAATTTGCACTCTATAACCACTAAATGAATATGTTTTCAAATGCTGTAAAATGAGACACCGTTGTTGAATTTTGAAAGATGAAACAATAAAACAATTTAACACAAACATCCTTTAGGGTGGAAATGTAAAGTTATGGGCTCTAGCCCTTATCCTACGTCTGGAAGTATATGCAAGTTGTCTTTCCTCCAAGTAGTGCAGTAGATGATTTAGGTGATGGTTCACAATTGGTTGATCACTTGCTAATGAACCTTCAGTATTCCTAACGCTATAGTGTTCCTTTAAGCATGGCCACTTCTAAGGACGTGTAATATGTGCAATTATCTTTCACATAATTGTCTTAGATGTTGCATGATTGGTACACATTATCCTGACAAGTACTGCTGCAGGCAGATAGTTGAGCATAAGAGCCACTGTGCCATACCCAGGGGAGATAGCCATGAACAAGTGGCGAAAAAGCCCACATTGGCATATATGTCATTGCTCCTGAGATTTTCTAGAAAAATATCTTGGACCTGATAAAGAGTACAAACATTGGATTGATTTACTGAAAATTGCTTGTCAGGAAAAGGGGCACAACTAATGATGAAATAATGCCTTCCTACGGGGAAATCCTAATGTGAGCGTGGCCATTGCCACACATGCACATTAGGTCTCCCCCGCCAATGTCAGTAGAGAAGGCAGACCCCCGCCAGCACCGAGGGACATCAGCGCTGGACCCAGGTAAGTGACAGAAGTGTTTAACACCTTCTGCACCATGGGGAACACTTGACAGTGTTTGTTTTCTTTTAATGGGTCAATATAAAGAGGGGAAAAAAAAAAAACACATTCTACAAATGGTTAATACATTTTAGCTATACGGACATGCATAGATTCTATAAAGGGGGAAGTTGGACCCAACATTTGTATGATATACTTACAGAGCTTTCCGTAAACATTCACACACTTTGAATGTTTCCATGTTTTGTAGTGTGGAGTTAGAATAAATGTAATTAGGATTTTTACAACTGGTAACATAATCTGACATGTTGATCAATTAGATATATGTTGATCAACTAGACTACTTAGTCAAAAATCGCTTGATTCAGTTCAGCGCTGGATTAAGAATTTATTGGGCTTGATGCTAATGATTTTGATGGGACTAATTACAGAATATTTCTGATAAAAAAAGCATAACAGTCAGACCTCCTGATCCTGAGTATCTTGTATCTGATGGAGGTGGTGCTAGAGGAACGCTTGCAGGATGCATTCTTAAGAATACACATACCTCTCTTTTCCATCTCTAAGCCCTGTCATTCTTTCCATCTTACCTGGTCCTGAGCTCTCATCTCCTTTCTCTCACAAACCACAAACTCTGTATCCTCTCTGTTCGGGACTCACTTTCCACTCAATTCCTTTCCTTCTTCTTACTTGAAGATTGATCCTGGCATGAAGCAAGTGACAGAGAAAGAGATGGATATAGTGAGAGTTGCCGAAATGAGAATATGCTGCATTGATGGTGCTGTGAAAGAGAGAGAAGCAGCATGAGTGTTTCCACTGTGTGCAAAGTCAACTTTATGTAAACTCTTTTATAGCTAGCCACACAAGTTTAGATCCCCTGCATCTCTTCTACGTTCCCATACATTGTTCCTTCTGTACCATAGCATGTGAGGATTGTGACGTGGGATCAATCGGCCAATTGCATGACCACTTCATGAGCTGCAGCTCCATTAGCCCTTATGTTAATCCATCCCTGATTCAAATGTGCAAAGCTGGTATAGAGTTACTCCTAAAGATCCACAGCTGCAGTGGTTAGGTGGTTCTTCAATGTACCAACAGAGTTTATGCCATCAAATGTTTTTTTTCTTCTCTTTAACTAAACTTGGTGTCATATAAAAAAATTCATGTTTAAAGTGAGGTTTCTTACTTTAATAAATATCACAAATTTGAGTCTAATTCCTAGTTGAAAACTACAAATTGTGAAAATGCCCAAGGGGCAATACTGTTTTTATCTTCATTTCAGAACAGATATTCCCATTTATTTTGTCCTCTAGACCAGTCATTCCCAAACCAGCCATCACGCCCCAGCATCAGTCCAGGTTTTGTCACTTTATCCATTGGAATAAAAGTGCCACTGCTGTAGACTGTAAATTTGTTTGAGCAGGGTTCTCATCATTCCTGTAATATTTTGTAATTCTCCTTTATTGTTAAATTTCCTCCTTTTATATGATTGTAAAGTGCTGCAGAATAAGTTGGTGCTATATAAATGTCAAATAATAATAATAATTAACTTTTCCTCAAAGAAAGTATTCAGAAAGTAATGCAGACTGTTGCAGGGGTCATTTCAAGGTCTCTTGGATATCTTACTTCCTGCCAAAGATTAAACTTGCTAAACATTTTAACCATCTCATTAAAACCACACGTTATAAAAGTGCTGATGTCAAAGAGAAATCAGACTTTTAGAACTAAATAATGAACTCCCCCTGGCTGTGAATCAAATATGAATTGACAGGCTGTGAATAAAATATGAAATGTGAATTGACAGTCACGCATTTCTTGAATGCTGTGCAGTCTATGCGCACGAACGAACAGGTGCGTACACGGAATGCAGCTACAGAGGTTTCTCATTGACAAGCCTTTGGTAGGATATTTACCTGAGAAGATACTATTAGTCTTGTGACGGACCGTCTAGCACCCAACTGGGTGCCTCCGCCAATCGCTGCTTCCTAGTAGCCTGAAGTACTATAAGCACTGCACCGGACACCATAAGCACCACAGCCACTTAGCCGCCGTAGCTTGGCTGGGGTCTCGGTGTCCTCCACCCACCCTAGACCCAAGCCCAGGATCAAGCTTCCAGTGAGTGGACCTCTCCTACTCCAGAGAGTCTAGCAGGTATCGCTGTGTAGCTCTTACAAGAGCTAGTGATTATAGCCAGTATAGCAATCCGAAGCAGGCATAGCTGGTATAGCTGTTCCCTAAAATCACGAGACGAGGCTGCGTGTTGAGGGTGAAGTGAACTGACTTTAATGGGGCCACACTTGGCTTTTTATGACAGTCCCCATGCAAGGAGCACTCCCCCCTGGACCTGAGAGTAAACCACAGTAGAAACAAATACACAATCACATTGGCGCTCAGATCCAGGACACTCCCATACAAACTAGGTCAATTCCTCCTCTGTACCTGGGAGATAATTGAGTAAAGTACTGTATTAACACAATTATCTCCAGACACAAAAACACACATTTTTATAAAAACCCCAAAATACCTTTAAAACATGCAAAACCCACACAAAGCCCTGATCTGGGTAAACAACATATCCAAAAATCACCCAGATCGGTTCAGGAATTTCATGGAAGTCATAGTTTTGGCCGACCGCACGCATGGTCTTATGCCCAAAACAGTTGAATAGAATTGCGGCTAAGTGCCGCGTGGGACCGGCCAGGAACCGCAAAGTTTTCATGCCGAAAATAGTTCCAGGGCATTTCCGGCTAAGTCACCCTGAAGTCTATTCGCGGTTTTGGTCCATGCGAACGGCCGCTAGTGAGCTAGCGTTCTGTTCCGTGGAAAGTGCCGAACCAGGGGGAATAAAATATGGGTCTTTACAGTAGCTGACCTGGCCCATAGTCTTTTGGCAGGAGGCTGGCAAGCAGGCCCCTCCAAAAGCCCGTGGTGAGGTTCACATATCTTCCTGAGAGATAGGAGGTCGCTCCTAAGCCCTCCCTCTTCTTCTTTGTCTATGGAGTTTGAGGAATGGTAGTTGCTATAGCAACCCAGCTGACCATGTGACATAGGTCGGACCCGCCCCCTTTTTTCCCCTCCCACAGCTCCCCCTCCTCTTGGTTGGGTAGTCTCCGGTGCCAGGCTCTGTCCTGTCTGTCCCAGGTTGCTGTGTGGGGGTACGTCACCCTTGGTCACTTCTTTGCTCCCAGCCTTGGTTCGCTGCTGTGGGGAGGGATCATCTACCTCCTTCCTCTGGTATTCCGGCTGGGGTTGTTGGGGGTCTGAGACGGCTGTCCAGCATCCCTGTATGTCTGGTGCAGAGACCACAGTCCCATCTGCACCATTGGGCTCAGGGGTGCTGTCCCCCTGTAGTTGGGGAGAAGGGCCAGTTGTCTCCTCTCCCGGTACATCTGGCTGTAGTTGGGGATCTGCGCAGCATCGCTGTGGGGCCGGTAAACAGACTTTGGTCCCATCTCCACCTGCCAGTTGGGGTTCCTCACAGGACCAGTCTGTAAGGTCCCCCTGTAATTGGGAAGAGGGACCAGTTGCCTCCTCTCCCTGTAAGATAAGCTGCCATTAGGACCAACTGTCCCTACTCCCGGTAACTCCGGCTGTATTTGGGGATCTTGGCTAGCTGCCCAGCATCCCTGTAGGGCCGGTGGAGAGAGACCACGGTCCCATCTCCACCTACCGACTGGGGGTCCTCCCAGGACCAGTTGATGAGGTCCCCTACTTCTAGAGCTGGTAGTGAGACAGGGGGTACCTCCGCCAGGTCTCCCCAGCTTTAGGGTGGTAGGTCTGGGTCCACCACCGAGCTCTCCTGCTCTGCCTGCAGGGTACATTGTGGCCAAATTGAGCTGAGCAGGTGTTGGTAATCCTGCTCCAGCTCCCATTCCAGGGTGGCCAGATTGATCAGGTCTGGCTCTATGTCGCCAGCTCTAGGGAGATCCAGCATGGCTTCCCTGTAGTCATGTATGTCCCAAAAGCATGACTCTCTAGCACTCCCGAACTCTGGTTTGGCAAAGGGCCCCCCATAACAGGGCAGGGCCATTGTACTCCTTGCCCTCGGGCCTGTCGTGCGTAGCCATCCAGGGAGCACGCTGAATCGCGTACCACCATAGCGCCTGGTACGCGTCGTCGAGCCACATTTCCTTCTCTACCAGTCTCTCGAGCTTCTTCACCCACTCATCCAGGGGCTGCTTTCCCAGGAGAGGCATCCGCAGCGCCACTCGTACTTGTAGTCGCTGCTCCTCGCTGGGGAGACTCTCACCCATCCAACGCTGTACACCCACCAGGGCTTCGTTCCAAAGCTCATTTCTTTTTTTTTTTTTTATTCTTTTTTTTTTCACAGTCAACAAGATATATATATATTGCGTATAATACATTCAATGAAGCATATCACTGTTTTTAATCTTCTGCATACACTGGTGGGATAGCGATGTTTGCTGTGATATTTTTTTTTTTTAATTTTTTTTTTATGGTAATGTAGCTTGTTACTGCCATGGTCATGTCTTTAGCAATGGTTGTGGTTAGTGTAGGTGTCAGGGACATGTATGGCTCTGTGGTATCAGAAATTGAGAGAGAGTGCGATATATTTCTATGGCGGGTTTGGTGCTGAGTGGGCACAGCTCCACTTGGTTGAGTGGGTGTAAGTGGTTCCTAGCGCGGGGGGGGGGTAAGGTGTTCGTTAAGGAGCTAGTGTTTCGGCTTGTTTAGGTCTGGGAGGTGGTGGAGATGGGTACGGCCCTCTGTTAATGCATGGTGTGGTATGTTGCGCGGTGTCTAAGAGGTGTATAAAACACAAACAAAAACAGAGGGGGTACAATACGAACGGTATAACTTATGCTGCGTCTACAGTTTCTCAGCGTGAGGCTGGCCCTATGAGGTGCCTGTGCCTCATAATACGAAAAAAAAAACAAGAGTTTAAGTAACAATATATAAAAGAAATTATATAAAAGAAAATACAAAAAAATCAAATCCAATTTTACCAAGGTAAGGTCATTTTTATTCCCATGCTTCACGTCTGTATCCAACACTCTACCAAAGAGTTTACTGATTGTACCTTCACTACAAAAAAATTTAAGTTTTGGTCCATGCGAACAACCGCCAGTGAGCTAGCGTATGGAAAGTGCCGAACCGGTGGAATAAAATATGGGTCTTTACAGTCGCTGACCTGGCCCATAGTCTCTTGGCAGGAGGCTGGCAAGCAGGCCCCTCCAAAAGCCCATAGCCAGGTTCTGTTCACCACAAGTCAGGTATGAGGGAAAGGCTGTACTTCAAAAGAAATGCAGTATTTGCAAGCTCTTTTAAGATATACCCCCAATAAATACATGCGTAAAAAAAAAGCATGCATGTATTCATTGGTGGAAAAATTGTGAATTTCAACTTTTATTTTTCAAAAATTTGTGTGGAATGGTCCTTTAATGATCCTTTAATACGAGTACTTATCTACAGTCATTGAAGCACTTTGGATAGAAATTCTAGTGTTTGTCTAATGGCAATCCTAATCCTGGTGCAGGTATGGGTGTCTGCTTTACAGTATTTACATGTAATTAATTTGACTTGTATTCCTTTCTTTCAAAGTCAGACACTTTATCTGTGTAGTGCAGTAAAACATGCAGACAATGGTCTAGGTCGACTGTTTTCTGGTCTCTTACCTAACATTTAAGGGGAACTTGAGTGCTCTCTGTAATCCAAGGATGCAGAAGTGTGTTACACATGCAATCACTTATTATGAGTAACTCCTATTAGGTAACCATATATGAAAGAAACGATAGCTTAAATGGAAGCTGTCATACCCATAGTTACTTTCATTCTTTTAAAACAGTGTCAGTTTCCTTTTATACATTCAGCTTGCAGTTTTGCAAGCAAATGTGTAGATTGGGAGAAAAATCGACTTAAAAATTTAATTTTTCCCATCTGTCTCTTAATTCCTTGGCAGAAACTTAATGCCAAAGAATTGGGAGACAGGAAGAGCAGACGAGAGAGGTCCATATGCTCTCCACTTATAGCAACCACAGTGCACACGTGATGTTAGACTACTCCATTCAGATGCTGGCAATGAAGCCAGCTTGTCTGCATCATGGAGCTGAGGAACTGTCCCCAAGAAGGGCAAAGCAACTAACTGCTGAGGAGGAGCATAGAAGTGTAAGTAGTTCAAGTGTGTAGTAGAGGCCCAGGTAAGTAGTAACACTTTTCCTTTAAACTCAAAATTTTTAAAATGATTGACACTCATTTAGGTTTGATTCTAAAGCCGCAAGTAATTTAAGAGTTCTGTGGGTGAATCAGTGGTGAAGGCACAAAAAGTACAAAAAATTTAAATGGAGTACTTATTCAGGATATTTGTGTTCAATATAGACTTGCAACTGTAAACTCTAAATGGTGACACAAATCAATACTGTAACAGTAATACTTAATAAGTAATATGCAATAATAATAAGTAATATGCAAGGGAATTTGACGGTTAACAGTTGGAGTACAGGACTTCTGTCACAATATTAATTTACATAATATTTAATTTTTTGTAGTGAAGGTACAATCAGTAAACTCTTTGGTAGAGTGTTGGATACAGACGTGAAGCATGGGAATAAAAATGACCTTACCTTGGTAAAATTGGATTTGATTTTTTTGTTTTTGTAGTGAGTGGTAGGATAACTAAATGAGTTTTGTTAATTAATTTCATAGTATACTCTTCGTAAGTCTTTTTGCTAGAAATGTGTATACCTCTGTCTTTTTGTTCTCTCATAGATACTTCCTGATAGGGATGGGAGACGCTGCATGTTCTGTGTCAAAACAACCACTAAAACCCATGAAATGAGTGCATCAGACACAAAACACAGACAAGAATGGGTGACAGGTATATATATGTGCTGATAACATACTGTGTCAAATTAGAAAATGTTATGGAATGTAAAAGCTGTTATTTAAGCCGAATGGACTGAGATTCTCTGCTGCTTATTGTGCTTTAGGCAGTAGCCAAATACAAAAAAATTTTTTTTTAAATCATACAAATTCTAACAGGGCATACTAATTTCCAATCCAGCATCAAGCCAGATCAGAAAAAGAGAGGAGAAGGTGCAGACAATAATTCAAAAATAATAAATCAGTGCTTTGCTCTTTATTAGACTTCAGTAATGGGAAAACAAAAAATAAATAAAATTGTGCTTATTAAAATCTCTGCTTGGATGTAGTAATGAACTGCTTTAGCCAAATGTAACTATTATTATTATTATTATTATTATTATTATTATTATTATTATTATGGTATTTATATAGTGCCATCAAATTCCGCAGCGCTTTACAATGGGTGGACGAACAGACATGTAGTTGTAACCAGACAAGTTGGACACACAGGAACAAAGGGGTTGAGGGCCCTGCTCAATGAGCTTACATGCTAGAGGGAGTGGGGTAAAATGACACAAAAAGGTAAGGATAATATTAGACTAGTGACAGTTGCATAAGAGGAATCAGTCAGGAGCTATTAACAGTTTAATTGATACGCTTTTATGAAGAAGTGGGTTTTTAATAATTTTTTTTTAAGGAGTGGAGACTGGGTGAGCATCTAACGGAGGAGGGAAGCGAGTTCCACAGGAATGGTGCAGCCCTCGAGAAATCTTGAAGGCAAGCATAGGAGGTGGGAGTACGGACAGAAGATAGATGTAAGTCTTCAGCAGATCGTAAGGGCCTAGACGGGACATACTTGTGTATAAGGGAGGATAGATAGGTGGGAGCAGCATTATGTAGAGATTTGAAAGCAAAAAACAGAATTTTAAATTGAGCTCTATATTTTATAGGAAGCCAATGTAGGGACTGGCAGAAGGGTGAGGTATGGGAGGTGCGGGCAGACAGAAAGATGAGCCTCGCTGCCGCATTCATTATTGTGACAGAACCATCTGTCTTTGGGATTATATTTCGCCTTCCTCCATTCGTCTGTTTGTTCGGTTATTTTTTTTGCCCGTACAGCCCACCGGTTTGCCGAACGGCTACCGATTACGCAACCACCGGGAAGCTGGCGTGTGCAGTCAATTGACCACCCAGTATCTGTGGTTAACCGCAGCTTAATTGACTGTTACTGGGTGGTCGCGGTTGCACATAGCCACCACACGATGGCGGTGTTATGGAAGCTCCCCAGGTAGTCGGCGCTTGTTCTGCCCAGCGTCAGGATACCAAAAGCGGATACTTTTTCTTCTAAGCACCGCTGAGTTACCAGCCTACGGGTCTGAAGCCCCGTTCAGGAACCGAACAGCGGAGCATTCAGGACTTTGTGTTACAGTGCATTCTACGTGAAAGTACCCAGATAGCCTGCCAAGGAGCCTGTTCGTGGAAATAAAGACTTTGGCTCCATGGCGATTAAACTGTATTCGTGTGGTCTGAGCGCCATTCACTTAATAATGTGCGCTCAGACCTGAGCTATCTGGGGATATGTTAAATGTATACATTTATTGTAACCTTTATAACATGGGGTATTTTAACAGTAATTCCTATTTTGGTATCCCCACGTGCATAATGGCGATTGCCTTTGTCCTGGGAGATAATTGAATTACTTCTCAATATCTCGAGGGCAGAGGGGAGGAAGCCAGGATGCATTGTGAGAATATATTGTGACTGTATGTCCTAAATTGATACCTGTCTGTCCTTTGTCACAGTCTCCCATTTGGTCCCCTAGGGGAGTGTCCACCAAGTGGGAGACCTGCATAAATACGGGCAGGTAGCCCTCATTAAGGCCAGTTCTTGTTTTACCCTCAATACGGAGTTTGGTCTCGTCATTGGGGGGATTTACTATACGCAGTTAGAGACTAATTGCTGGGAACGTAAGCCGCTTGGATTCTATATCAGTTCGTCTGTTAGCAGCGATTCGTGGGATTACTGTTCGGGAGTTTGGAGTGTTACTAAGTATGCTGTTCGGGAGATAGGCGCATTCCCCTGGCTCGAGTTCGGGAGTTTGAGGTCTAAAAGAATTGAATCTGCAGTGCTGAAAAGGGGAAGCTCAACTAAGCGGCGGTTTCACTCCTTTATGCCAGGAGTGTCTTAACAATTATGGACTGTAACGGTGCAAGTTGGGAGCACGTAAGACCACTGAGAAGCGGATTACAGTAGTCAAGGCAATAAAGGACAGTGGAATGGACCAACACCTTAGTCGCATCTGGCGTTAAGTAGGGGCGGATGCGCGCAATGTTTTTGAGATGGAAATGGCAGGATTTGGCGATAGATTGAACATGAGGCTTGAAAGAGAGGTCCGAGTCAAAGAGAACACCTAGGCAGCGAGCCTGTGTGGTGGAGTTGATGGTACCGCCGTTGACTTGGAGAGAGACAGACACAGGAGTAACAACACTTGAGGGAGGAAAGACGAGAATTAACTAGAATTAACCAGAACTAAATACCCTGTATAACTGTTGATCCGTGCAACAGAATGTAACACACAATGCTTTAAGTATAAATTGGGGTCAGTGCTAGATAATAATGTATCAAATTCCACAAGTTGTAAGATCAACCAAGACTGAATGCATGCGCATTAAGTTCACCCATTGCCGTGACAGTGCTGGAATTAGGATAAATGTTAAAGATTTTTTAGGGATAAAGGGTGCGCAGAGGCAGAGGGACACTATAGTATTAGGAATACTTTAACCTTCTAACTTCATACAAGGAGATATTTTCTTGTGTGTAGATTGGCTAAAATATGAAGGAGGGAAGGGACAAAAGTAAGGGAAAGATAAAATATTACAAACACTTACTACTGTCATAAGAGCTATATCCCCTAAGGACCTGAGATATATATATATATATATATATATATATATATATATATATATATACTGAGACAGATTCGATTTTTTTTGGGGGGGGGGCATTTTTTTTAAGTCCAACCCAGCCCTATAAAAGGAGGGTGCAAAGTTAAGGTGCATATATGAAAGAGAGTTGCATTGACTTGTGTGTTTTGCTACATCTTTGAGGCAGAAGGATACTAGAGCTATATGTAACAGCATTATTAATTGGAATTGCTCTCAATGCAGTCAAGATTAGCAGAAGGGCAGCCCTGAATAAATAAGAAATAGGATGTAGCATGTGTCTCTGAAATGGAAGAAACAATCTGGAGTTCATATCTATTTCAAATAATCTCCATTTATCTCAAGTATATATGGCGGAAATCCAGATTAACAGGACCATGGCCTTCCATTGACATGCCAGGACAGCTGTGAAATTAGTTAGTTTTTTTTACCTTGGTACGACCATTTACTTTTTTGTTTAGATGTGCCTCCCAGGATCTGCTGAATCAATCTTGTGTGGTTAGAGATAATATTGGAAAAGAACATTACACACATGTATCTTTAGAGATAGACTTGATGTCTTGAGTTGAGGAGCCAGTGGTGGCATGATTGTCCATGTAAAGGTTAAAGATGAATTTGGATCTGGGAAATGTATAAAACAGCTTTTGTTTCGTAAAATATAGGTAGCATAAAGGAGTTGATGGCTTTTATATTATGAGCGATCTAATAAGGCATCTCACGTTTTATTCCTGCCCTGGACTTTATTGTGACAAGAATTAGATTATAATTCACATGTTTGTAATAAAGAAGAAAAATAAAGAATTAAAATGAACAAAAGTTAACATGTATTTTATGTTAAAATATGCAACCTTACCTATTAACCTATTTAATTATTTTGCAGCCATTCAAACTGCAATACGTCTTCAGCAGTCTGGTTCCCGCTCCTTACATCGTGAGCTGCAGAGCAGGCGCAGAGAACAACGAGAGCAACGGGAACAGCGTAAAGCAGCACGGGAGCAAGAAATTCAAAGGCTAGCAGAATTGCAGAATGAGAAGGAGAGGCAACAAAAGGAACTAGAGCATCTGAGGGAGGCACAGAAGCGAGCAGAAGAGGCAATTCAACAAGAACAAAATAGACACAAAGAACAACAGGAGGAGATGCAGAGGCAACTGGCAGTACAGCTCAGGGAAGCAGAAGAGGTGAGATAAGGAAAGTAAAGATTAGATAGACAGATTTTTTTTTTTTTTTTTGTACAATTAGCTTCCAGCAGGTGTGACAAACTGATGGAGATGCCTTAGCATTTGGAACAATTACCAATATATTGCATTTAACCTATCCTCAAAAGTAAATGACCTCAATATTTCTATTTGTGATCGTTTCTGTTCTTCTATAGTTGTTGGCTATGTGGGTCTGGACAGGAGATCAACTTCATATCTAATGCTCCACCACTACCGCATAGTTCAAAAGCCAGCCTCCAACTGCCTTCCCACTTCTGATGATGTCAGTAGACAGCTTGCAGGTCTGAGGCAGACAAGGGCAGAGCCAGCAGCTTTAGGCTTGAATACAAGTAATATTTTACTAGGGGAACTAGATGGTGGTTTTAACACTATAGGGTCAGAAATATGTTTGTGTTCCTGACCCTATAGTGCTCCTTTAACCCCTTCAGGACGGGTGACGGACGAGGTCCGTCACAGAGGGGAGACCCTTAACGACGGGTGACGGACCTCGTCCGTCACGCGGTAAAATTAACCCCGGATCGCCGCTATCGCGGCGATCGCGGGGTTAATGGTGCTCCCGGTATGCCTCTGTATTAGAGGCATACTGGGAGCACCCGGTCAGGCTGCCCAGCACATGTGCTCTGTATACTCACCTACCGGCTCCCTGCACTTCCGGGTTCTGTGTGAAGTGCAGGGAGCCGGATCAGTGCTGATCCTGCCCCCTGCTGTTTAAAAAAATAAAGTTTATTTAAAGTGTCCCCCCCCTTACCCATTTTAATAAAAAATTAACCCCTTCCCTGCCAATTGATCACTGGCTACAGTGATCAATTGGCAGGGATTACATTTTACTATGATCTGATTTTTTTTTTTAACCCCTGACGGTTAATTCTTTTTTTTTTTTTTTAACCCTCAGGGGTTAAATTAATTAAATTAATTAAATTTATGGGACATAGGCACAGCATAAAAATTCAAAGTTTGAAAAAAACTGGAATGGCTGTGTCCCAAATGTGCCCCTCCGATGTCCACACATACCTGGCAAAGGTACATACGGGGTATTGCTGTACTCAGCCGACATAGCTGAGCAACATATGAAGTATTATACAGTCGTAGCACACATAAGGTTTGCAAAATATACTGTGCAAACTCACTTTGTATGTCAAAAAGGCAGAAAAAACGCTTATTACCACTACATCTGGTACAAGCTAGCGGAAAAATGATCCCACGCTAAGGTTCAAACTATACCTTTTGAAACACCCTGGGGTGTCTACTTTAAGAAATGGTAGGCCTTTGTGGGGTAGTTTGAATTTAAAACCTGCGAAGATGCTTGGAAATTGCACATAGGCCCAGCGTCAAAATTCAAAGTTTGGTAAAAACTGAAATGGCTTGGTGTCCTATATGGCACTGTAGCTTCACGAAATAGTGCCAAAGACATTCATTGGGGGTGTATTTTTACTCAAAAGACTTAGCTGAGCATAATTTGGGGGGTTTGAACTTAGTGGCACATATGAAATATACAAAACGCCCAGCAAAAATGCAATCCGTATGTAAAAAATGCACAAAATTATTTTTTACCACATACTTTGGCATATATTGGTGAAAAAATGGGGGCATGCTAAGGCACAATATGCACCTTATAAGATACCCTGGAGTGTCTACTTTTACAAATGGTAGGCCTTTGTGGGGGTTTTTTGAACAGTCAAACTGTTATAATACCCCAAATGGAAGCTAAGGCTCATTAAATTCATCTCTCAAAATTCTACTGTGAATACTGAAAAGGACAGGTATCCTGTATGGCACTGTAACTTCACGAAATAGTGCAAAAGACATACAATGGGGGTGTCATTTTACTCAGCAGATGTAACTGAACACAAAATAAAACTTTGTACAGGAATAGCACACACAAACTTTACAAAATATACACGAGAATTTCTCTGTTATAAGTTTGTGTGCCAAAAACCAAAAAGAACACAATTTTACTCCAATATTTAGCAGAGGTTGGCGGTGAAATGGCTACGTAGAAAGTGTCAAAACAACCTTAGGTAAATAGCCCGTGATGTCTACTTTATATAAATATATACTTTTGTGTGGCAATTTTGTTTTCTTTTATGGCTATTAAGCTTACAAGACAAACATACCAAATTCTAAAATCGCTCCACATTAAAAGTTTATTTTACTCCTTGTGCTTTGTGACCTGTAACTACCAAAAAAAACTTAAAATCCCAGACACATTATATATTCTGTAAATCAGAACAAATAAATAAATTTATTTTTAATTACTTTCCTTAACCTGCACTAATTATGCACACATTATTATTGCAAAAACTGTAAAAAAAACCAATATTTTTCATTTTTTTTGCATTTTTCTGTATTTTTTTTATAATAAGTAAGCATTTATATATATATATGTTATATCAAATTAAAGCCCTTTCTGTCCTTTAAAAAACAGTATATAATATGTGTCGGTGCAATAAATGAGAGAGATGCAAATTGCAGTTGAACGCAAACAGCAAGAAAATGCAAAAATTGCTTGTGTCATTAAGCGTAAGTCAAGCTTCTGAAGCTGTGTCCTTAAGGGGTTAACAATGGTTGGCCATTTCTACAATAAATTTAAAGGGACACTATAGTCACAATAACAACTGTATCTTAATGTTGCAGTTTTTGTGTATAGATCACACCTCACACCTCTGATCTCTCCCTGATCAATTCTCTGTGATTTAGGAGTTAACTCACTTTTGTTTCTGTTTATGCAGCCCTTGCCACACCTCCCCTGGCTTAGACTGACACAGCCTGCATTAAAAATATGGTTTCACTTTCAATAAGATATAACTTTTTTATTTTTTTTATTTGTAGTTTACTGAATTTTGACCATAATGGGGGTGGGGGGAGTAGGGTACAGAAGAGAAAAAGGGGGAGTGGGGGGAGAATCAAACAGACACAGTACAGATTTGCGTTACATTCCCTATTTGGTTATACAATCCATTCTCTTAGATACATATATTGATGGTATAAAGTCACTTTTACCGACACTCCACATTAGGCAAGTAGGTACAGTATTCTTATGTATCTTTAGGTATCGAGGCAGCAGCTAACCATTGTGCACCCCTTATTCTCTATGTGTATCTCCCGAGACCTCACTTGTTTGTACTTATTTTCCCTATCTTCCATTCCTCCCCGGTCCTGGCCTCTCCTCCTTTTTTGTCTGTTTCTTGTTTGTGTCGCTCATCTGCTACGTTTCCCATGTGTGCCCTATATATGTCGTGACCTGTGATGGTGGGAAGTAAAAGGGGGTGTCTCTATATTTGTCTCGGGGCTGGTGGAGCTGAGTGGTCAGTGGTGTCTTTTCTCCAGGAACTCCACATCTCCCACGCCCCCTTAAAGCACTATGTTCATGGATGTAATGCAGTATAGTGTGTTTCGTATATCAATTGCTTGTCTATGTCTTGTAGGAGGTGTTGGATATTGGGGGCCTTGGTGGATTTCCAGGATCTCGCTATTAGTTTTTGCGCAGTTAGCAGGACATGGTACATTATTTTCCTCACCTTAGCAGGTATGTCCGTGGAGATGTCCAGTAATAGGAAGGTCGAGGGTTCAAAGTTTGTCAGCCCTGGTGACCCTGGCTATAATTTGGTGTACTTCTCTCCAGAACCCCACCAATCTTGGGCATCCCCACCAGGTGTGTAGAACCGATCCCAGGTCCTGTGTGCATCTCCAGCATGTCGGAGGTGTGTGTGGGTACAACCCATGTAGGCAGGCTGGTACCATATACCACCTATATAGTGTTTTTTTGGTGTTGTTCTTGAAGTGGGGCGGACTTGATCATCCTCTTTATGGAGGATGTAATGTGTTTCCATTTACTCTTGGCTATGTTGGTGTTCAGGTCGGAGGCCCATTGTTTTGCCTGTGTTGAGCCATAAAATGGTTGGTATGGTTGGATGAGTTTGTAGCATTCTGATAGTAGTTTGAATTTAGGCGGGGGTGCCTGTGATATCCCCATTTTCTCCCAGGTAGAGGGTTCCCCTTTCGGGCTGTGCTCTTGTGACCGTTCTTTGTTTTGTCTGCTTAAAAAGGATTGGAGCTGTATATGTGAGTATTGCGATGTGCGTGGGATGTCATAGAGGGAGCAGAGCTTCGTGAAGGTCATTAATTTGCTCTCCACGCATATGTGTGACAGGTGAGTAGCTCCCTTTTCTTTCCACGGCATTGCGTGAAATGTTGGGATACAGTAAGTGATAGCTTCTATGGGAGTTGCCATAGAGAGTGGATGACCGGACACAAAATGTGTTCTATGGGTTTCCCAGATTTGTAGTGCTAATACGAGTTGTGCTGGCATGGTCGGGATGGCTGGTCTAGTGTTTTTTTTTTGGTCAGCCACAACAAATTAGGGACTTGGAAGGGATCTATAGCTAGGTTCTCCATTTTAACCCATTGGGGTTGATTCTCTTTGGCAAGGTGTGCGAGCAAGGAGGTCAGTATCGCTGCCTGGTAATATGATTTTACGTATGGGAACGCCATTCCGACACTCCTCGCTGGGGCCATTAACAATTTTTGTAAGATCCGTGCTCTTCCCGCTCCCCAGGTGAATTGCTGCATTTTAGTCTGTACACTTTTGAAGTATGATTGTGGCACTCGCAAGGGAAGGTTTCTAAATAGGTATTGAAGTTTTGGCAATATGGTCATTTTCAGAGCTATTATGCTCTCTGTTCAGGATAGAAATAATTGGCCCCAGCCCTTCAGAACCTCTGTACATTCATTCCAGACCCTGTTATAGTTAGACGGAAACATATAATTTGGGTTTTTGGTAAATGTTAGACCTAGATATTTTATATTGCCTTGCCTCCGTTCAAATGGATTGTCTCTTTGCAATTGTGCTAGTACGTGCGGGTCCAGGCAGAGCCCCAGTGCTTGTGTTTTAGTGGTGTTGAGGGAGTAGTAGGACAGCGTCCCATATTCAGTGGTAAGGTTCATGATATGAGGTAGGGATTTTTCAGGGTTGGAGACATAAAGTAAGAGATCATCCGCAAATGCACTAATTTTTATCTGTCTCCCATTCCAGTCTACCCCTGTTATTTCCTGTTGGGTTCTAATCGCTATAAGTAAAGGCTCCAGGGCCAGCACATAGAGCAGGGGGGACAAGGGACATCCCTGTCTCGTGCCATTTGTAATCTTAAATGAGTTTGATATAAAGCCAGCTTGTAGTACTTGGGCTGTGGGGTGAGAGTACAGGGCAAATATTTGTCTAATGTGTTGTTGTGGGAACTCATATCCCTCTAACACCTGGTGGAGGAAGGGCCAACCCTGGCGGTCGAAGGCTTTTTCAGCATCTAGAGCTAAGAGCAGTCCGTCTGGGCCCGACCCCCTCATCCTCTCCATTATGAGGGATAACTTCCGGGTATTGTCTAGTCCCTGTCTCCCCAGTACAAACCCTGAGGATTTTCACCCATTCTGCAGGGCAATATTTTAGCATGAATCTTGGCATCCGTGTTCAACAGCGAAATGGGTCGAAAGTTTTTGCATTGGTCTGGGGATTTCCCTGGTTTAGGTAAGGTTACTATCGTGGATAGAAGCATCTCAGGAGGGAGTTCTCCTGTGTCTGTCGCTGTCCAAAATAGTCACACTAGCCACGGGCCGAGTACTTCTGCAAATTTTCTATAGTATGCATTGGGTAAGCCATCTGCCTCTGGGGATTTTCCCGTAGGTAGGTGTTTTATGGTATCTAGTACCTCGTCAAGGGTAATGGGCTTGAGTAGAGCTTCGATTTGGGTCTGATCTATATGTAGAAGTGGGAGTTTTGTCAGATATGTGCGAATCGATGTTTCGTTCAGGGGGGGCGACATTATTTTGGACTCTTAGGTTGTACAGTCCAGAGTAGTATTTTGCAAACTCCTTTGAAATATCTAGGGGGTTTTGTATTTTGTTACCCTCCGTGCTATGCAGGTAAGTTATTTTGGATGCTGCTAGTCTCGCCCTCAATTGGTTAGCTAGATATTTTGTGGCTTTCCTGCTGTGATGGTACGAAGTTGCTTTCATTTTATGTAGGAAGCATGCAATTTTTGCTGCATTTAGTTCAGTTAGTTGATCTGTCAGAGATTGGACCTGATTTGCTAGGGTTTGGGTGGGGTTTAGTTTGTTTTGGGCAGTTGCCACAACTAGTTGTTTCTGGCATTCTAATAGGGTTTTTTGTGTGTGTTTTCTTAAGGTGGGATGAACGTCTAATAAAGAGGCCTCTCACAACGGCCTTGTGTTCCGACCACACTGTTTGGTCTGGCACGTAGCCTACATAGTTCATTTGAAAGTATTCAGTGAGGTCAGTCGTCATTTGGTTTAGGAAAGTTTGGTCTTGCAGTAGTGATTCATTTAACCTCCAGTTCCCTCTTCCTTTAAATTTAAATAAGTCATACGGTTCGAGATACACTGGGCTATGGTCTGGCCAAGTTATATCGCCAATAGTACAGGTCGAGACCTCGGCTAGCGTGGGTTAATCTACATAAAATGTGTCTATACTGGTGTATGTATTATGTACTTTCGAGTGAAAGGAAAAATCTCTCTCCCCAGGGTGGAGTACTCTCCAGCTGTCATACAAGTTATGCAATGTGAGCTGTTTACCCAACGATTTACTCATGGATGTCATGCTTGTCCGTCTTATTCCCTGATGGAGTGCTGTCGTGTCTTCCTCAGGAGTTGTAATGAAGTTAAAATCCCCGCATAGTATCAGCCCTCCCAATTTTTGTTTTTCAATTTCTTGTAATAAGCGCCTGAGGTATTTCTCTGTACCTGTGTTTGGGAAATATGTGGAAAGCAGAGTATATTGAACGTTATTAAAGAGACCCATCAGGATGATATATCTTCTCTGGGGATCAACAAATTTTGCGTGTTCTATAAACGCAACATCTTTGTGTATTAAAATGGATGTCCCTTTGGTCTTATTCTCTGATGATATTGAGTCGGGAAGAGTTTAGTGAAAATTTTGGGTGTCAGTGTTTTTAAAATGTGTCTCCTGAATGCAGGCAACATCAGTCCCCCGATTCTTGAGTTCCTGTAGTAAAAGTCGTCATTTGCCTGGGGAATTTAACCCCTTTACATTATATGTCAATTTCATATTGGGTAGTAAGTGCAGTAAGGGATGTTATGGTGACTTTTTTTAGTGACTTTTCTTGATGGTTTGGGATTGTTACTATAATTCGTTTGTTGGGGCCTTTCACAGGAATTATTGATCTGAAATGTGATCTGTTTGTCTAGGAGAAAGGCAGGTGGGGGGGCGGAGAGGATTTAGAACATCATGTGGGTGGTGTACCCAATATGGCTCCAAAGTGTGGGGCCTTGGCTCGCAGCCTAGTAGATAGGTGCGGTTAGTGGGGGGGGTGAAGGTGAATTTGTCTAACATGTCGGTCGTTCACCTTGAAACCTCTGAGCAATGTTAACGTCTAACTGTTTAAACCCACAAAATAGTGAATACAATTACACAACTTACAGATCACCATGTGTGTGCTTATACACTGCTGATGCTTCGTTCATACAACATAGTTCATGGCTCAGTCCTTCCCCGCTTGGGGTTGATTATGCTTAGTGGGCAGAGTCAAGATCTAGCCAGCATTATATGCTGCTCATTTTTTAGGACTACTGTGCCTGAAGCCAGTGTTAAATCGTGGTACACATTTTAACATAAGGTGTGAGTATCTGTGTTAACTTATGATACTTTAACTTAGCAATTCAGTGACTGAATCTAGAGTGTATGCAGTGCATAGTTACGTATATCTTGAACGTCGGCTTTGTCTCACTGGGTTGTCCACTCCGGCGACATTCGTGGAACTTTGGCTGGTTCTGTGGATGGGATTGGAAGTCCCCAGTCTCTCAGCTTTTGAATTCCTTGGGCCACGTCTGTAACTGAGTGGATCGCTTCTTGGTGAGATATTAAAAGTTTGGCTGGATATCCCCAGGATATCCCCAGCGATAGCTCAGGTTCTGTTCCCGCAGGATTGAGGTGATAGGTGCCAGCGATTTCCTGAAGTGTAGTGTTTCCGCCGATAAGTCTGCAAGGATTTTTATAGATTTGAAGTTGTCCGGCATGTCTGCATTTCTGCTGGCTCTCATAATTCTTTCCTTGGCATGGAAAAAATGTATTCTTGCAATGACGTCTCTTGCCGCTGTTGGTGGCAAGTGTTTCGGTCTGCGCAGTCTGTGAGCTCTATCAATAATTAGTTGGTCTGGATGGATTGCTGGTGTGAGGGATTGGAACAAGTCAGAGAGGTAGCTGTGTAGGTCAGCATTTTGTACGGACTCCGGGATTCCACGGAACCGGAGGTTGTTCCTCCTGGCTCTGTCCTCCATGTTAGCCAATTTTAATCTGTGAGCCTCCAGCATGTCGTCCATTTCTTGAATTTTATCTGCCAGGCTATTATGGGCCACGGCATACTCATCCATTTTCATTTCTATCTGTGCTGTGCGGGTTCCCATCTCCTGCATTTCTTTTTGTAGTTCAGATGAGAGCTCTTGAATCTGTTTTTTCAGATTACTTTGGATATTTTCTGTAAATTCCGCCATCATTTCGCGGATACCCCCCATCGTTAGCGGCTGCTCATCTGCCGTGGGGATGTCTGTGGTGAGAGGGAGTTTTCCCGCTTTCTCTGGTCGCCGCCATCTTGCACAGGCTCCTGGCCTTCTCGCTGCTTTGAAGCCGTGTTTTTTGTTAAGAAGAAAAGAGGCCGTCTCCGAGTGTTTCGTGTGGTTTGTGCTCAGTGTACCGCTTGTTTGTTGCTCTTTATCGGCTTCTTTGCCCGAAGATGCTCCTACATGCGTCTGTTCAGCTCCGGGGTTAGGCCACGCCCCCGATATAACTTATTTTAAAAGTTTTTAACTCCTGCTCTGTAAATTGAACTTTAATTACATACAGGAGGCCCATGCAGGTTCTATCTAGCTATTAATGGAGCAGGAGATAAGAAATTATAAATTAAACAGAATGTGCTATAAAGGAAGTGTACACTTTAGAATAGATTACTCTTTACAGGAAGTGTTTAGGAAGGCTGTGCAAGTCGCATGCAGGAAGGTGTGACTAGGGCTGCATAAACAAAATGATTTAACTACTAAATGGCAGAGAATTGAGCAGTGAGACTGCAGAAACATGATCTATAAACCAAAATGGTTTCATTAAGCTAAAGATGTTTTGGTGACTATAGTATCCCTTTAATAGAAATTAGAAAATGAAGCTTCACTTGCAATAGAAACATAGAATGTGACGGCAGATAAGAACCATTCAGCCCATCTAGTCTGCCCAATTTTCGAAATACTTTCATTAGTCCCTAGTCTTATCTTATAGTTAGGATAGCCTTATGCCTATCCCACGCATGCTTAAACTCCTTTACTGTGTTAACCTCTACCACTTCAGCTGGAAGGCTATTCCATGCATCCACTACCCTCTCAGTAAAGTAATACTTCCTGATATTATTTTTAAACCTTTGTCCCTCTAATTTAAGACTATGTCCTCTTGTTGTGGTAGTTTTTCTTCTTTTAAATATAGTCTCCTCCTTTACTGTGTTGATTCCCTTTATATATTTAAATGTTTCTATCATATCCCCCCTGTCTCGTCTTTCCTCCAAGCTATACATGTTAAGATCCTTTAACCTTTCCTGGTAATAAAATGTTAAGCACAGAGGGAATTTATATTGTCTAGTGTCATAGTGCCAGAAAGTGTAACTACACAGGTAAGATTGCATTAATTTTAAAAAATGACGCAGAATCAATGATCTTTTACCAGGCACGTGCCTCAATGCAAGCGGAGATGCAACTAAAAGAAATGGAGGCCACAAGGCAAAGACAACGAATCCTTGAACTGGAACAACTGCAAGATCATCTTCAGGAAGCTCTGGCTCAAGAAATAAGGGCACACCGTGATGAGGAAGAATACAGACATGCCCAGGCCAAGTATATACCCAGGCCAGCTAGATTAATAAATGCATTACACCTTAACTTTTGATATATATATCAAACTATATAGAACATATGTATGCAACAACATTTCCAGAAAAATAAACAAAGTTCTTTGAAATGCAACGTTAAAGAAATGCTCCAGCATTATAATTAAATACATGTTTTTTCATGCTGAGGTGTTCAATTGTCTATTTAGATTTAATGGCCCCACACTCAAATTACATACCTGTAATCTAGCTGTTTCTACACTACAGCTCTGCTCTGCACTAGTAAGGATCTCCTGGGTCTATCCACTGATTGCAACACAGTGTATGCATTGCAATCACCATGCTCAGCAAGTAGAGTACTTCTCATAGAGAAGAATTAAATCCAATGCTTCTCTGTGAAATGCATTGTATTTTGCTTTGAGAAAGCAAGGAAGAACTCCCTCCCAGCTTTCAGACTGCTTATTGTAGGCACTGTTACTGCTTCATATCATTAAAGTGATTATTGTGTATACAGTCCTTTTGTGCTGCCCTTTCATTCAGCATTTAACGTTTTTTAAATGTTTAAATACTAACTGAGAGTCCTCAGCAGCCCATCTCCTCTGTGCTTATGAGGAAGCATTAGCCTGAGCAGCAATGGAGTGGGTGTGTGTCAGCGAACCACTTTCAGCCTATCACAGTGCCCATTGCTGGTATAAATTGGTATGGCTAGAAGGAAGTGTGTAATCTTTGCCTTAGACATATTTCCAGTAAGTGCTGGACTGTGCATTGACAGAGACCCTTATTCAGTGTTCACAAATGGTTTAGTGCAGGGACAGCGCCAGGTTTGTCCAGGCAAAATAACCAATTCACTGAGATGAAATGATTATTATGGCCTACTGTGTGCCTTCAAGGGCTTTAGGTGTTTGGAGTGTTACTTTAACACTATACCTAGTTGCCAAGACCATTTAAAATAAATTATTCTATATAATATTTTGCTTGTTCTCACAGATAAGTAATTCCATACAACTGACAACCAAAAGTCTTAGTAGCATAAATCAAACCATTTTTTTTTTTTTTTAAATTGAATAAGAGAATCACACCTTCATACTGCTGTATTGCACAATAAAACATCATAAAAAGTATAATCAAGTATCTTATTTTGATTGTTTTTTTCCTTCCTTTTTTAAAATAAATCTACTTAATTTCTCCACACAGGCTGTTGATGCAAGAGGAGGAAAAACTGCGAGTATTGCTCAGAATGAGGGAGGAACAGATGCAGTATGTGGAACGCGCGCAGAGGGAAAAACAAGAGTTGCAGCAAGAGATGGAGATGAAGAGTAAAGAGTTGCAGGATGCCCAGAAGCAACTAGAGGATGTACGGGAGAACAGAGAGAGAGCTGATAGAGATGTGCAGGTTCAAAATGTTTCACTACTAAATATTTACACAATCATACAGACATGACACAAATTAACAGGTTTATTGTTTTTAAGATGACACTTTCAGCATCAGCATACATCAGTATACATCAGCATACTTGTGTATATTAGGTACAGAGTCCTTTGCGCAGTGCAGACGGTCAAACACCCCTCACAGACAAAGCGTCTATTCTGAACGTTTTATTTTATCTGCATGTAGATTGTTATAGTTCTTTGTATTTACTGCACAGTGTTTTAAGGGTAAATGAACTCTTATTACATATTCATTTCCACTGGTATATTGAGTGGCTTAATATTTTTTGTTTTGTTGAAGTGCCGTGGGGTAGTAGTTGTAGTAGTTTGAGACTAGGGCTTATTTTTTTTTCTTTTATAGCCTTAACCTGTTGGAAACAAATTATTCCTACTTTTATCTGAATTGATACTTTTGATTTCCTTAAAAACCAATTTTTATATACCTTAATAGGGCTATTCATGAATTGCTTAGGAAAAAAAGCAGACTTGTTTTTCAATGTGGTATGTATATAACCATTATCATTATATTGATATGTACTAAACAGATCTTTTTGACAATATTTCTGGATGCAGATTGTGCGCATCTGATAGAAATAGCAGAGATTTACTCTGCTGCTTTTGCGAAAGCGCCACTAGTGGCTGCCTGAGTGACATTCAATAGAGGCACATGCAGTGGCGTACATACCATGGTCGCAGGGGTCGCAGTTGCGACCCGGCCGGCCCACCAGGGGGCCGGCCGCCTTGCGACCCGGTATGTACGCCACTGTGGCCAGCTTCTTCTCCTGGGGGGCCCAGGCAGGCAGGCTGGCGGGCCCGCGAGGGAGCACTCTCCCCTGAGTGCTTCCTCTTCAGCTCTCTCGCGCACCGCACTGATACCGGAGCCGGAAGATGACCGCCCGCCGACACCACTGGACCCCAGGGAATCCCATTAGCACTCCCACAGGTAAGGAGGCGGGGGGGGTGGAGTACATTATTTTTAAAAACTTGTGTGTGTGTGTTAGTGTTAGAGTGTGTTAGTTTGTGTGCGTCTGTTAGTGAGTGTGTATGTATGTCTGTCGCTGAGTGTGTGTCTGTCAGTAAATGTGTGTGTGTGTGTGTGTGTGTGTGTGTATGCGTCTGTTCGTGAGAGTGTGTGTGTCTTAAGCACCTACCTTTCTCCAGCGCCGGGCTCCCTTGGCGCTGGGGATCTCTCTGCCTCTCAGCTCCGAATGCGCATGCGTGGCACGAGCCGTGCGCACATTCAAACTGTGATTTTCACAGTGAGAATTGCGGAAGCTCCTCTAGCGGCTGTCAATGAGACAGCCACTAGAGGCTGGATTAACCCTCAGTGAAACATAGCAGTTTCTCTGAAACTGCTTTGTTTTCAGCTGCAGGGTTAAAACTAGAGGGACCTGGCACCCAGACCACTTCATTGAGCTGATGTGATCTGGGTGTCTGTAGTGGTCTTTTAAGTGTATGTGTATCTGCATGCACTGGCGTACATACCGTGGTCAAAGCCCTGCGACCCGATGCCCGCCGCCATGTGTTGCAGCCCCAGCCAGCGCAGAGTAAGCGCGCGGGGGGGGCGCTACGGATCAGTTTTCGCACTGGGGCCCCATGGGTTGTGTGTACGCCTGGGCACATGAAATGAAAAAACAATGCCATTCCTGCAAAAAAAGCACTATTTTCAGCTGCAGGGTTAAAACATTGAGATTAAGTTGTCTGGGTGACTGTAGTGTCCCTTTCTGGTAAAAATGCCAACTATCTCTGTCTCCAAAATGGCGACCGAAAATTTTCCGGTCCGATGGGACAGATGTGAATCATAATGCAATATGGCATTAATTCCACTGATTTCCAATTATTTCTCTTAATTAATGACTCTATGCAAAGAGGATTCATGATATATGGACTATATGAACCTTGAGGAAGACAGTCAAAATGCATTGTGGTTGTATCATGTGGCTTGCCAGCAAATAGCGGAACTTCCGGGCTATTTAGCTAGAGGTGTGACTAGAAACCGCCATGCCCCGGTGAGAAAATTGCTCTTTGTCCCCCTCCATGTGTTTCATCCTCCATCCCCAGCCCTTCCATGTGCCTCATTACCCACACCCCTTCATGTGTGTCTCTCTCCCATCCCCATCCCCTCCTGTACCTCACCTCCATATAGCTTGACAGAGTGGACCACCATACCCAATCTGACAGGATGTGCTTGTTGCTCTCAGTGCGCTCCCCTCCTGCCAGTTACCCGGCGATTGTGTGCTACGAGTCGCTGTGGTCATGCACCTCCCCTGAAGTTATGCCAGCCCGTCCCAGTGGGCTATTCCTGCCCTGTGACTCAGCAGGGCAGCCGGGGCCCTAGAGTGACGGGCCCGGTCTCACTTGCGACCCCTGTGATCGTGGTAATGCCGCCATTGTACGTAGCCCATAGCATAATAGGCATTTTAGTTCTATTGACCTTTATAATTTTTCTTTTTTTTTACCACTTCCCGACCTTGGACGTACCAGGTACGTCCGTCAAAAAAACGGTTGTTAACAAGCTCGGACGTACCTTGTACGTCCGCGGCAAATCAGAATCATTTACTTACCTGGACCGGCGATCCACGGCGACCTCGGTCGGGGGGGACTGCCAAAGAGCCCAGCAGTCCCCCTGCAGCAGTTCCGGCCTTCCACAATAGCAGTCTATGGAGCTGCCAGCATATATATAAAAAAAAAAAAATGCTAACTTTGGCCAGCGTTCGTGACTAAGTGCAAAAACAAGTACAAAGTACAGGGTGCACAATTAAAAACACCACCACACAATGTGATATACTGATATCAAGGAGGACCTTAATATATACTTATAAAAAAAAAAAAAAAAACTAAATCACAATCCATAGGAAGAAATATACATAACTTTTTACATAAGGGACTCTAAAAAGGTATCTTAACCCCTACAAAGTATACATTTTTAAATATAACAAATCCCCAAAATCAATCAATCAATCTCTCTCTCTCTCTCTCTCTCTCTCTCTCGTCTTTGTAGAAAAAAAACCTCTATTATTTAATAACAGGTAACATACATCTGATCGACGTTTCGACCTCTTCAGGTCTTCCTCAAGATCTTGAGGAAGACCTGAAGAGGTCGAAACGTCGATCAGATGTATGTTACCTGTTATTAAATAATAGAGTTTTTTTTCTACAAAGACCTGAGAGTGCATCTCTTTCCTTTTTGCTTTACATATCCAGCGTGGGATTGCACCATGGCAGTCTTTTATTAATTCATTGAAAGGGTGAGTGTGTGTATATGTGTATGTATGTATGTATGTATGTATGTATGTATGTATGTATGTATGTATGTATGTATGTATGTATGTATGTATATATATATACATACACATATACACACACACACACACACACACATACATACATACATACATACATACATACATACATACATACATACATACACACACACACACACACACACACACACACACACACACACACACACTCTGCCAAAATTACATAATGATGCTCAGAATCCCCTGGGTAGACTTATCGTCTCCGGGATAGGGTCAGTAACATCTAACCTATCCAAATACGTAGATACCCACGTCCACCCACTGTTTAAATTATGTTCATCATACTTGAAAGATTCCATGAGCATTTTAAATATTTTAAATGGGATAAGGATTTTTTATTATTTTTACACTCCGATGGATGTGATGCCACTTGTTTTTTTTCTGCAAACCAATACTACTTTTCCAGATCATCAAATTAATTTTATACTAGACAGCATCTCTTTTATTCTACAGAATAAATTTTTTTGCGGTTTCAAGGTGATTTTTACTTACAGTGTAGAGGCACGGCTATGGGGACTAGGTTTGCACCCAGCTATGGCCCACTGGGAAAAAAAATTTTTTAATTTATTTATTTTATTTTTTTTAGACATTCCCGACATAGCTGGACTGCAAACCTGGTCCTATATAAATGTTACATTGAGAATATATCTTTATTTGGAAAGGCAACAGTTTTAGAATATTTATCCTTTTTAAACACTAACCCGTGGAATATTAAGTTGACTCATGAAATCCATGAACAAAGAGTCAGTTTTCTGAATCTAAAGATTTATATTGAAAAGGATAAAATAAAAACTCGAACACTCTTTAAAAACGTGGATGTAAACAGTTATATCCACACAGATAGCTGTCACTTCGCCCCTGGCTAGACAACATCCCAAAAGGACAATTCCTCAGATTGAGGAGGAATTGCTTGGATGTTTCCCCAATATAAAAATCAGGCCAATATTTTAAAAGAACAATTTTTAGAACAAGGATATCCATCTGATATTTTAAAAATTCAAAAAATTAGGGAATTGGATAGAGATAACCTCTTAGAGTTCAGGAAGGATCCTACACAAACGAACAATGTGCTTTTAATTAGAACAACAATCAAAGGGAATTGAGACAGATTTTGAAACAGGATCCTGATTTGACCCCATTCTTGGAGGATAAACCTAGGATAATTTTCAGAGGGGCTTGTAACCTCAAATTTTATTGAAAATGGGAATACAGATTTTAATAGTACACACAGGGGACAGATATTGTGGTAACTGTGTTGCCTGTAAGGATTCTAAACCTAAAACCAAGAAAATTGAAGGCTTTAAATTATTTTCAGGACAAGAAAAATTTGAAATAGGATCTTTTATTACTTGCCATTCTAAAAGTTTTGTGTGTGCTCACATGTCCTTGTGGTCTCCAATATGCGGGCAAGAGTTCTAGGTGCCTGAAAACAAGGATATGTGAGCATATTTACAACATAAAGAAGTTTTTTGAACCATAATGTGTCTCTACACTTTTTAAGGCACCACATTAGTAATCCCACCGCCTTGCAGTTCTTCAGTATCCAGAATGTATGGAGACACTGGAGGGGTGGCGATTTGGAGTCCACGTTGAGCAAATGCGAGATGAGGTGGATATTTGACTTAGAAACCTTGTCTCCAAGTGGACTCAACATGGATTTCGAAATGGCAGTTTTAATTTAAATTTATCC